TCTCTCTCTCTATATATATATATATATATATATATATATAAATAACTTTTTGCAGTGCTTGTCTCTTTGCTGGAAAGATTTGTTTCATATTTGTAAAGTAGACAGTGTTTTCCTCTATGAATCTAATAATAACTGTTATTTACTGCATTGGCAAAACGTTTCATCTGCAGCCAAGACACCAGGCGCTCATTGGGGGTGATGAACTCTCCGCAGATTAAACGTACATACAACGCAGTTATTCATGATTACGGTTAACCTTCCACATAAAACCGAAACACCCTTTGAGTGAAAACTTGCCCTGAAGCTCATGTGTCTTAACCGCGATGGCCGGCCGCATGGAGCCCTCAACACACAGTTCCACGCCTTCAACGGGAGCAACCAGAATATCGCCTACCCCTTCCACCTGCACCTGATTTGCTTGCCTAGCACCCGCACTCGGACAGTTTCGAGCCATGTGGGCCGAAGACCGACACAGAAAGCACCTTTTTACGTTATCGGGAGTCGACGACAGCCGCTAAATCGCTGGATATCCTGACCTATCCAACTACCGTCATCGTTTGACTCTGCCACGGGCGCTCCTATTGGATGCCGGCGACGCGTCGCCATTTTCGACTCATGGCGCATCCCACATCAAAACGAGCACGCGTTTATTGGTATGATGTGGGTGCCGGTGACGCGCCGCAGTTTGCGAAGCACGCTCCTGTTGGTCTACTCTCAATGCCGGTTGTCGGCGATGCTCCGCCTTTTTTGGCTAAAGTGCGTCCAATCACGCACACGCTTGGCCGGTACTTGTTTATAAGATTCATCCAGCGCTTTAGCCGCCGCCGGTTTGCGGGCACGGTCTTGCGCTCCGGAAAGGAAATTTGGGAGTTTCGTTACTCGAGTGTGAAAGCGTTCAGTGGCCCTAAGGGATACTATGTCAATAACTTCCGACACCTAATTGTAAAGTAAACATTTATCTCAATGATACAAAATTTCAGTTATTCCTTGCCCCGTCCCCGGCCCGCAAAAAATTCCCAAATGGATCCACCATAATTCGTTAATTCATAAAAGCGCAAAAGAAACGATATCGACTAACAGGTAAAGCAAGACGAAGACTGTTATCACCAAGACAGTCCAATCCGGTAGTCCGAGTAGCTTCATGCTGACTGGATAAATAAAAATTTTATTTGCGGCCGCTGAACACACTCAGCGGAATTCAAAACCTCGAAGGTAACGCGCCCTTTGCGCAGAGGTATCCGAGTCCTTCAAAGCGATGCGCAATGCGACTAACAGTCAGCCAAGGACGGCGACCTAACACAAACACAACCTTCGGCAGGACCTCGCAGCGGTCCTTCAGAGAGAGTGAAAGGCGCGTGGGCCGACGTCCGTATTTCTACCGGTCGGGAGAGGATCTTCAAAAGAAGGAAAGAGGGAAATAGAAACGAGCGGAAAGTTGCCATCGTTTGCGTCAGTGCGGGTGTAGGAACCACCTCGATCGCCGAGATACCGCACTGGTCGTTAGCGTGCATGCAGCACTGCGGTGACCTCTTGCAGCAGACTGTTTACTGACGCGCATTTTGTGATTGCACAGATGATGGCGACTGAGCTGATAACACAAATAACGGCGTAGTTTCCAGCTGCAGGTCATAGACCTGATACGTGAACTCGATATCTAGGAATGACTCAATCTCTGTAAAATGTATTTTGCTTTGACCTATCACACAGGACGGGCGCTAACTCACAACTGATTTTATTAGAGAAAACACTGTCCCTTTTATACACAAGATCGTATGCAAACCCAAAACTGCACCCAATCACCACTCTCACAAGCAGCTATCTAGAAACATTACTTCTTTCTGGAGCAAAAAGAGAGAAGGCATGCTAACGCATTTGTCAGCTTTCCTTTTGATATAAGACGCCTCTATAATTTCTCTCTCTCGGTCTTATCTTTTGATTTCTTTAAAAACTTTGTTTCAGCCAAAAGAGGCTTACAGTCCGCACATCACCTGCAGTGGTCTGCCAGGTGTCCCCCCGCGTTGTTGCGCACAGAAAGATTATGCTCACGTGCCCTATCGTTAGAACAGAGGCTGGTTTGTCCAATATAAACTTTTCCACAGCATAATGGAATCTCGTATACAACGTTAGTCACACATTTAGTGTACTGTACAGCGTGCTTCTTAGAGCAGAGTGCTTTTCTGCCGTGTAAGCATCGAACAGATTTTCGAGAGCCTACAAGGGGCTGAAAGAACAACATTTACATCGTACACCCCGAGAAAAAGGTTGGCCTCAAGGGACTAACGGCAGCATTTGGTCCTCTGAACTCCCAGTTGCTCATTTTTCTAGATTTTTCATATTTTCATTAGCTGCATCAGACATTTCATTGTAAGAATATATTGTAAGAATATTTCTATGCCAACAACACGGTGGGGAAAGCGTGCGTCCAAGGCGTTACACATCACCACGGTGCCGGGGAATCGGTGGCCGAGTGGGCTAGCGGAAACCAGCTCGGAGCACGTAGAGCGAAAGCTCGCGCTGCAGTGGGCTAAATCGCCACCGTGCCCGTTTCGATCTGGATGAGCATCCTACCAGCGTGCCGTCGTGCGTCACTACTACGTGGCGCGCGTTAAAGACCGCAGGCTAGCGGTTCGACTGCACTGGCTAAATTCCTAATCTACAGCGGGTGACTCGTCGCAACTTTGAAATGGCCGACCGACTACACGCTGTATAAATATCCACACAACTCCAGTTATTATTTACCACGGTGTCAACCGCTCCGTTGAAACGGCTGAAGTAGTTCACCAGGGCATCCTGCGTCGATCTCCTTTGCAAGAACCCTACGTGCCTACAATGACTGTTGCCAGTTTCCTGGAACGTTTTCTGCTCTCGCAGCAATCGCAGAGCAAGACGACATCACCTGAGCTTTCTGATACTCTGTTCGAAAGCTAACCGTAACAATCGTCATTTCCACCCGCTCTGCACTAAGCACCGAAATGGCGGCGCCCACAAAAGAATGGAGAACTAGAGGGCCAATACTCTAAGCGTATCTAGCAAAAACCATTCAGCAAACGGGACTTTGCCCGTGCATTTGTCACCGCCTCATTGTGATTACTTATTTTGATTCTTTTCTACGAGTACTGCTAAGGGTGGTTGTAAGGGTGTGATTACCGAGCAGAAAATCGAATCTATGCCACACGTTCATGACGCCGCGTGATGGCGCTCGCCCGAGGGTCTCGGTTCTCTTTTGCAGGTGCGGCAGAGAAGCGCTGCGGTTCCGCCGGTCACAACAATCGCCCTCTCGGTGCAGAGGGTTGATATTTTACTCAAAGTAAAAAAAATTCTAGTTTATCTATTGAAGTTTGAAACGCTAGATTGGAGTGAATAGGAAATGTAAAATTGTAACTAACTTTAACAATCTCGCGCTGGCGCCGTGGCGTGCTTCACTCTAAAGCATGACAGCGGCATTTATGTCTATTTTTCTTTCTTTCATAATTTAGGTGAACTATTTTTTTTCCAGGGCACTGTAACATAATCCCCTGGTTGGCTAGCTGGTGGAACATTGTAATATATATAGCGGAAAAAACGACGACAAAAAGATGAGGGACAGAGAACAAAGCTCGTCTCCTCTGCCCCTCTTCTACTTCTCGTCTTTCCGCCGTACGGGTTACAATTTTGGCAAGTACGTAAAATATCATATGTTTATAAAAAAATTGTCGCGTGCTAGGACACCAATTATAGAATATGGAGTATCTGAATGTATTTGAACCTCTGAAGTCTTTGAGCTTGTTCGCTCTTCAAGAGCGTCTGTCCTTGTTTAGCACACTGTCGTTGCGCGTTTTTTTTTTTTTCTTAAACAAAGTGTTGGCGGTGCATAGATCTTCACATATGGTTCGTCAGGCGAAGCGTGTGAACGTCAAAGTCAATGAGCATGAGAGGCCTCAGCATTAAAGGGGAAGGGGGGGGGGTGCAACGATTTTAAGATTTAAAGGATTTGCATCTCGCAATTTTTGCGTTGTGTATCGTGTCCCGGAGGATACAAAAAACATGTCTTTCAAAAAGATGTCGCGATTTCGCTGCATAATCGCAAAGCAAAATTCGAGCTTTTTCCCCCATCTGCAGCCTCCAGAGGCAGACGAAGGAACTACGGCGAAAAGCTTACGTGACCTCGCTCGGCTCTAAGCTGCAGCATAACGCCCGCTAATGTCAGCAGAGCAAGGAAGAGTAAACGTCCTCCTAGAGAGCACACGGAAACCTACATGGCGCCCCGAATTACGTCACTAGGAGTGTGACCAGGTGTGACCCCGAAGATTGCGACTGAGTTGAGGGGTGCCAAAAATGCCAATACTTATCTTTTTTTTTTTTTTTTTTTTTTTACTCAACAATTAGGACATGCAGGTGAAATCGGTTTTCTGTTCTTTACATCAGAAGTGTCAGGGAGCAACTTCCAGAATTGTTTGACCGAAGTTCGGAAATCGTTGCACCCCCCCCCCCCCCCCTCGCCCCCTTTAACAATGACGAAAAATCGGTGAGGTTATCTTTAATCAACTGTGTAACGCTGAAGCAGTAAGTGAATTTATCCTCCAGAGATGATCGAGATGATCCAAGCTTGTTCAATGATTGTAAACGATAAAGAACCCTTCCCCCTCCCCCCCCCCCCCCCCCCCCCTCCCATTGCCTAGGATAAGAGAATCCCTCGCCTGCAGAGTTCGCTGCAGAGGAGTGTGACGAAGAAAAATCGGTTCGAGTTCAATGACTGCTATGTTGTGTGTCTGTGTCTTTGTCAGTGAGAGTTTGTGTGCGTGCGTGCGTCCGTGCATGCGAGCGAGCGCACGTGTGTGCGCGTGTTTCTGTAATCCTCTTTTCCTCTTTTTCATCGCAGCTCTAATCAAGGCCTTATTTGATTCCAGATATCTCCCAATCGTGGTCGTAAAATAACTTCATACTGCATGTTCTAAATGTTGTCTTCTATGCAAGGGACTTGAAGTAACCGGTTTTATTTGTGTCAACTTCAAAATCAAGGCCACACAGCGTCAAAACACTTTATTAATGACATGCAGAAAACACGATTTGCTCGATTGCTTCAGTATAAAACACATGACTCTAATTGATTAGAGCATTATAATTGCAAGGTCCATACCTGTTATCATTTACAGTGAACAGAACTAACGTAGATGAACTGTTAAAGTAGTTCACGCAGTTCTCTTCCTTATTCCGATTGTGAGGTGCTTGGCGTTCAAAACCCCAAATCCTTTAACAAACTCAAGCGGGACCTGAAAAAAAGAAAAACACATTTGGGTGTATACATGCATGTTGTTTTTCTTCGTTATGGGCGCACGATAAAGAATAAGACCTTGAAAATCCATGCTCACTTTTGTGTTTTTGGTACGGACGAATTCGACGCTGTGAACGGAGTGCAGGAGGGACAACTTGACGGCCTCGAGGGCGAACCTCATGCCAATGCAGTTCCGAGGTCCCGCTCCAAACGGAAGGTATGTGTATGGGCGAATACTGTCAATGTTCTCATCACTAAACCTGTTGGGAAAATATCGAAAATATACAAGTCAATAGATTCTATCCAACACCTTCTTTCTCGTACCTTTATCACCGAAATTTGCCCATTTAATTTGCTGCATTAAAAAACAAAAACGGTGTTTAAAAGAAAATACATTAGGATCTGCACAGGTGTATCTGCTAAAGATTTTGGATAGTAGATGCCGACACACACTTCTGGCGTCACACCGCTGCGGTGGAACTGCCGTCGGCACGACACTTGTTCGGACTCTTCCCCTCAGGCGCACGTTTCGGCGCACGCGCAGTACACCCCGCCCGGTGTGGGAAAACGCGGGCTTGATTGTAAAGTGTGCGTTCGTCTACGGGCTCTTAGATAAAACAATAAAACGCACTTCATTTCAGCTTACGATAAACTGCAACGGACGCTACGAGCCACTTCAGCCAATTTAGCGCTCCACACGTGGCACCAACTTCGCGCTCCGCACGTCGCTTCGCCCAACTGCAAGGTCACGTCAGGTGGCACCCTCTTCCCAGATATGGACTGGTTCCGGTGGCTCGTAGCATCTGCTGCGTTTCATTAAAAAGTGAAACTGAAGAGATCTCGAATGGCCAATTTTCGAGTTTGACCAGGTTCTACTTTTCGAATTTTTAACGCGAAGCTTAACAAACGTTAGACTGTAGCTCGTGTGAAATTTGACTTTGTGCGCATCCGTGATGATTGAGAAACAAAATGACGCCACCTTGCGTCATATCGTTTCTCAAGTGCTATATTTGTTGAGTGTATTGTTTTCTCTGTTTCGTATTAATACACTTACAAAAATATTAAAAGTACATAAATCTGCGTCGATATTGTGTGGAGATAGGTAATCACTTAATAAAATATAAAATGAACAACTTTACAGATTTTATGTTTCACAAAATTCAAAATATTGGTGTAGAAGTTGGGCAACGCTGTACATAAATCGAACCTTGTCAAACTCAGCTAAATATTCGAAGGTTTGACGAGCCAGTCGAACCTCTAGGTTCGAGAAAAGTTCGCGATACCTTATGTAAAACAAATATATGTAAAAAAAAAACGTTTACACGAACCTGTTTGGGTCGAATGTTGTGGGATCGGGAAAGTATTCTGGGTCGTAGTGCATTGAATAGACCGGCACGGCAACCACGCAGCCTTTTGGAACTTTGATTCCGGTGTCACCCAGAACATAGTCATTTAGAGCAGATCGCTCTATCCTATTGAAAAGAAAAACAAAAACAAACACATATATGACAGCAATGACAAAGGTGGCATATTCAGATAAAACATTAGGCACGCGATACGCTGCAGAGTGAACGAGTTGCCTTACCGAACTGCGGGGGGATACATCCTCAGTGATTCTGACACGACGCCGTGGAGGTATTGGAGCTTCGATACAACATCCAGGCTTGGATCCGGTCCCTTCAAGTAACAAGAAGAGAAGTATGAAAGCATTTTACAAGTACCTACGAGTCCGAATTGCAAAGATTAGCCAGTGTTATCGAAAAATGATGCATCCTGTTATATTCCTGGAGTATGTGCAAAATCTTTCAAACATGCCTAAAAACAGAGTGTTCGAAAAAACAAGAAACTCTTTTCGAGAAAGAATTACCAGCCACGGCGGACGTCATGGATTTCAAAATGATAGTAATTAGAAAAACAATTACCTATAATGTACTAATTAACGTTTTAACTAGCGAAAATAAGGATATGGTTTCAATTAGAAATATGCTGAGCCTAATTAAAAAACCCTCAACCAGCCAATTTTGTGACAACTTGAATGACGAGGGAAGCGCGGGAGTGTGCCAAGGCTACCACTTGTGCAGCAGGTGTAAGGCCTGCGTTGCAAAGACGCGGATGCTAAGAATATCATCCGCTGTTTCGCATCCCCCGCATTGCGTCTGCATTGCGAACGGTAACTTTAGTGCGCCTCCACGCAACTCACGTGCTTCAAGTCGTCCCACAATTGACTGATTTATGGGCTTCTGGATCTCCAATGAAGCTCAGCAAGTTTCTACTTGAAACCATCTGTTTGTTTTCGCGAATTTAAAGTTAATTAGCAATCTCTAGGTTAGTAACTTGCTAATCAGTACGCATTTTGCAATCCTTAAAGTCTGCCGTGTGTGGCAGCTTGTTCCCGCAAGACGTTTTTTTTTTTCTTCTGAACCGCCCTAGTTTGAAAAGTTTCGGAACGTGTTCGCAGGAGTACCAGGCAGGCTCTTTTGATTTCAATTAGGCATTCTAATGATCAGTATGCGTCTTAAGTTTTTGTTTATTGTTATGAGAAATTTATACTTCAATATATGCTTATAGTGATTATAATTACTTCGGTATTTTTATCCTATAAACGTATATCCATCTTGCTTGATGCCTTCGAGATATTTACTTGATGCACTCTACAACTTGAGTCATAATAGTGATACCGACAGCAGCCTGCATCATCAACCGAATCTCCTCTGTCTGGTGGCATTTCCAAATCAATATTCTGCCAATGCTTGCTGCTGCTGTTTTCAGATGTTTAATTAGGCTAAAATTTTAATTTTTTTACATGAACAAACTATTCTTAGGATACACTTCATTTTTATAAAATGCAGAATATTTATTTATTTTATTAGGATGCTGTAGTTTCTGCAGTAAAAGGATAGTCCAGATTTATCTCACGTTTCAGCGAACATTGGCTAACGTTCCCAGCGTAAGATCGTACAGAAAGGCAATTTGTGCCGTATTAGTGAATGACGAGAGGCCAGTTTAGTATAAGGTATACATAGAGTTTCGCATAACATGGCCTTAAATTAGTGTTGCATTATTTAAAATCAAGTGGTAAAGGTAAAGAGATAGGCTCAATTATAAACTCGCTGAGTGTCGTCACGAACCCCTATATTGGTAAATTTTAGAACAGCTTAAAAGCCTGGTAGAGCCAAAACGTTCCTGCTTGTGCTATGCGCGAAAAAGTGGCACACCGAAAATTCTAATAAAAAAAAAAAGAACCGCATCTCCACGTGGTGAATGATTTTGATAGGGGCGAAGCTCTGCTGGTGCTTGTCTGCGTAGACGCTGTGCCGCAGCATGCCAAGCCTTTCGTTCGTTTTCATCCATGTCACGCTGCGGTCAAATGCTCAAATGCGTATATAACGACGTTCCATACCACACATTCTCTTTCTGACATGGATGAAAACGAACGAAAGTCTCGGCATGCTGCGGCTCACCGTTTACTGAGACAAGCACCACAAGAGCTTCGCCCCAATCAACATCATTCACCACGTGGAGATGAGGTTTTTTTTTTTTTTTTTTTTTTTTTTTGGCCTACACGAGCATGGGGCACGTGCTCACGTTCTCGTGAGCACGAGCACCCGACGCCGGACATCGGACGGACATACGGACATGGTTAGTCCCTAAGGAGCTTCGCCCTAAGAATTAAAAAGATGAGCGAGCATGTTAAAGTTGAATGCATTTTTGAGACGCAGAAAAGAACGAAGCGCGCACTTCAAATCTTTCTAAACTTCGCTAATATTCTGGTGTTCGATATTGTGGCGAAAATGTGTAAATGGATTGTGTGTTGTAAGAAGTGAATAACTTAATTATACAAAAGGAATGTAACCTCAATTACCATAAACGCTAAATGTCACTTGATAATCGCAATCCCGAGAACATAACCTCCCCAGTAAAAAAATAAGGACTGACTTCCGCAAGTCTTCGTTTGCTGATCCCTTTAAGATATTAGAATTCAAAGTTAGGGTTTCTTTTCGGCTCTAAAGAAGGGGTCTGGAGCTTCACTAATCAGTCCCCTCCCTCCCTTAAAAATAAAAAAAGTGTTACCGTACTACCGTACATCTGTATTCCATTCACTAGAATGACAGCAAAGGCTCAGCCTCGCCAAAGTTTCTGAAGCCACGTGATAATCTCCACAGTTGCGCATTCTGGTTGGTCTTTGACGTAATCTCGGAATTCGGGTTTTCACAAATCAAAATCGAAAGTATCATCTAGGAGGAACCGTATACCATATTGTAGTTGAACCGCACAAGACTAGAACGAACTACCGGATGATATCAAGTGAGCCGAGAAAATGTTTCCGCTTTAGCGGATAGGGTGGGCAGGCGATCTTGCATTATTCGCAACTCCAACGCCCCATAGGTGGCGGGGCGGTAGTTCCAAGATGGCGGAAGAGACGGGGATAGACTCTCCAGGGTTTCCCGAGCGCCTGTTTGCTGACGCTGGTCAGTGCGCTGAAAATGGTTTATTTGTCTGCAAACGCGAAATGGCTAGGGCAGGATATATTGCAAGTGACGGAGATGTTGCTGCCCGTTAGTAAAATGAGCATGTGGATATTTAAAGGGATACTTCAACGAAATTTGAAATATTCCCGTCGTGTTCAAAAATAGGTTGAATATGATCCACAATATCCGTAAATGACAATCGCACGTTTGTATTTTGATCCTGGTGGCTGTATTTTTTGTTATAAACGGCCCACTCTGGCAAGCGCTCGGAGAAGGCCCAGCTTAGAGCACGTGACATCCAACGCAATCGTGACGTAGGTCGTCTCAAGACGAGCAAAGCTACGGCGAGGCTGACGTCGAGAGGATGGTCTAGTCGTTCCAGCCACCGAAGCGGCTGCTTTTGTACGAATTTTGAGTGACGTGTTAATCTTCTATAATCTTCTAGGGGGACAATAGCGACTTCTGCGACACACAAAAGGGATTCTCGGGAAGAGGGGAGTTCCTCCTTCCCCCCTTCTCTCGTCGTGGCCGGAGACGAGACAACCTCCGTCACTAGCTGTCAAGGCTCCTAGACGAGCATTACAAACGAGGCGTTAGCGACATCCACCAGGTGCTCTTTGCTAATCGTTTAATTTGTTTTAAAATTCCTTTTTGAGACTCTTTTAACAAGATATTGGTACGTTCCATGTGATACTGCTCTTTTGAACGCATATAGACCAAAAAATGAGCGCCGAAATTTCGTTGTAGTATCCCTTTAAAAGTTGCAGAAACCTCGACTTGCGAATGTGGCAGAATATTCTTGAGGGTGATGAAGATACCGTGTTTGCGCTTTGCCTGGCCATTAGTGCTGTAAAATGTGAGCAGCGCACGGTGACCGTGAAGCTTCAGAAGAGCAGCGTTCACAGTATTGACGCCTTCATGTCACAGGCTCGCAACTCGATGCTTACCGTCTCGCTTTTAGTGTATTGCAACACGTGATCAAACTGCTCTATGGTTATTGATAAGAAGTTCGTTACCGCAGGCTACCGTGCGTTGTAGCATTACAACCGGAGGCTTGCGCTGCTCCTTTGAAGCACAATTCTCAGCGCGTGCCAGGAGCGTTGCCGTGCTCACGGTAGCCAACGGTTGCCTGCGATAACGCTATGTTAAAACTGCCTATTACCATAATCGGCGTGTTTAGGGGTTTTATTTCTTTCTCTACCAGAAATGCATTTTTTAATATCTGTACATTTTTTTTCTTTTTTTGTACCGTTTTATTTGCAACGTTGTGGCCCCTCTCGCAAAAACTGCCCGTTCTAAGCTTTCGTCATGAACGGCTGGCTAACACAGACATGTTTAAGATTCTTCGGGAATTTATTTATTTACTTACAATTGCCTGAAAGCAAGTACGCGTATTCTATAAACGCAAACCCATTCCCGACGTGTATTGCTCGACATATCGTTGCGCGACCAGTTTTCTCCTACTTAGGACAAATAATAGACTTTTCATACACCGAACGCTAGAGCTCTACATTATTAGCGGGAGCGTTTGCCGTCACGTTGAGCACAGATCGAGCTGGCGGTCATGCACAAGACCAGCAATCGGCAGCGTGTGCGATATACGAAAAGCCCCTAAAGGAATTAGACATCCCGGTCCTTCGTGCAACGCTGTTGCGAGGTGGAGCATAAGAATTCCTTTTTTAACGCGCTCACTTTTTTCGTTACAACGGTTTCACGCATCAAGGCCGACAGCTCGTGCCACCTTTTCTGCGCCGCCGCCGCCGCTGCCGTCCCCGTTCCTCTGGTTCTCCGCTCGTCCGCGGGAGGGCGAGCGGCGCGCTGGAGTTGCGAATACCTTAGCTTTGAGCGTCTCGCGATCATTTGTTTCTGCATAAATTCCAAGAAAGTGTACTAAGTCGAATGTTATACCTCGTACTCGCGTGGTTTTGCTAATTTTATGCATAGAAATGTAATATCTATGATGTTTTTCCTTCCACCCTTGTGACCGCTCTGAACAGGATGAACAGTAAAATTGATAAATAACATAAATATATAAAACTGCTTACAGGTGCTTACACAGTGTCTTGATTAGGGATGCCATACGCGTTATTTAGGTTGAAGAGACGGAAGCCAAAATTATATGTGAATTGTCATTAAGGTACCGCCATAATTTTTGTCATTCAGCGTTTTATGCGTACTAGGTTTTGGAACTGATTTTGAGTCAGAAGTTACCTTTCTGAGGGTTATGTTTTGCATTTTTTATAGTTGTAGGGTGTCTGAGACCTTCGTAGGAACCTTTTGTTGACCTTTTAAGCACAAAGGCAACGGAACAAGTTTGAAGAAATATGATTACTGTAGTTTCCCAGGTCTTAGAGCATAACATCGCGTTTTTAGCAAAAATTATTTTCTCTCTCGGTTTATTCATACTAGAGGGAGGTTTAAGCGGATGGCCACTAGAAACCAGGAAATCTCCCTTTGGCAATCTCGATGTGTGTTAGATAAAAGTAAGCTAAGGAGGTTCTTGAAAATGAAATATAAACGAGATACAGGTGAATTTTAGAATTTTTTTATCCTGTAAATATGGATTTTTCCGTTCGTGTTAACTGAAAATGTAACTAAACGCAAGAAAAGCACGAAAGACTCCGACCAGTCGTTGCGTCACCAAATCATCTTTCGGCAGCCAAATCCGTGTCGCTTTTCGGGCAGCGCGTGCAATCGCAAACCCCCCCCCCCCCCCCCCCCCCACACTGACACCTGCCATGACGTTTTTTCTCTCTTTTTTTCCTTTTTGAATACACACCTTTCCAAAAAACACTCGACCCCAGGGGCAACAAACCGCTTTCGAGCCCAGTCACTGAGTTTGAGGCTAGACTCTCACCGACGTCCCTACTAACCCTAACTGAGTGGACTGTCATTTCAATAAGCGCAGCCTGCGTAGGCGCAGTTTCAAACGCTGCTGGCGGCTAAATTCTCGTCTTTTCCCGCTATATTTTGTGTTTCATGGTACATGTATTTTCCCGAGGACATTAAGAAAGCATTGTGCCACATTTGAAAAAAACTAAATAAAGCGAAAAAAAAACAAAACACAACTGTAAACTATTTTTGTTGGGTACGCACACGACAAAACGAATGCGACTGGAATTTATAGTTCTAGTTATTTGTTTTTTTCTTAGGATAAGTTTTGACGCCGCCGCGGGATTTTCCGCATGTGAAACAACAAAGCGCTTTGCTGACAAAACTAAATTGCAACAGAAGAGGGCCGAAAGGCGTGCATTTTTCGCGCTCACAAATAACGTGTTCACCGATGGGCATTCGAACAATATATCGTACGTACCACACGATGCAGCGTTATCCGAAGAGAATTTATTTGAGAAAGATCTCAAATTACGTATGGTGAATTCCACTCGTAGATCTGGAGCGCTTTCCAAAATCCGCGAGGGAGGCGAAATTCCGCTCCGTGGGACCCGCTCCGAATCGACGAGGGGAAGATAAACTTGCATTTTTGGAGCGACCTCCCCCACACCCCTTCCCACCCCTTCTCCCCCCGCCGTACAAAATGGCCGCTTCTCGAACTTAACCAGTCCCACCAACGCCTCAGCCGGCTAATCTTTCCGACGACCAGTGACGACTGTCACTGCTTAGCTGCAGAAGTAACACGCGACACAGACCGGGCGAAATTATACGTACCACGGCGCCCATGTCACAAATAACGAAGACGTCCGCGTTCGGCACCGTCACATACCTTTCGGCCGCCTCGAAGCGGCGGGGCACGGACAGCGATTGCCAGCGGTGGAGTTCAGATTTGTAGTACGACTTTAATAAACACAGAGGTAACAAAACATCACTTGCGCGGTCGTTGCCTAACCACTTCTTGCTTTATTTCACGGGAAAACGCCGACAGAATGCAGTGCAAAAAGGTAAACAATCACTGGCTGCACAATGAATAGGCCTAACCTTGCGTCTGCCTCCGGCTTTTCTGTCGTTCTTTTTCTCGTTCTTCCTCTCACGATCACAGGCGTCAACACTTACGATTTGCCACGCTCCACATTCCCGGCTTTTTATCCCTGATCTGTGCGAGGTAGAAGCGTTCGAGCCGTCACAATCCAAAGTAAAGAACCTACGCACCCGAACAAATCCAACTCCACAACCCGACCGGCCCGCCGATCTCTCCAACCTCGTCGCGCATGCGCACCGCCGATTTAGACGGAAATCACGTGGGCCGCTCTGTCAACTTCCGGAGAGATCTGTGAAATCCCGCAGAGCAAGTTCGGCGGAGTTTGGGGCGCTCCGTGGAGCGGGCGCTGCCAGAGATCTACGAGCGGAAGATGACCAACTTGAGCCAGATCTGCGAGCGGAATATGCACGCTCCAAATGGAGCGCTTTTGGAGCGCTCGAGATCTGCGAGCGGAATTCACCATTAGTCACAGTCGACGACAGTCACATCTTGGCGATCGGACGGAATCCGAGATGACTTCGTTTTGGGGCACGTTTTGGGGAGAGCTTCTTTCTTTCACAACCGCACCAAGGCAAAGAAACAAACGCGACTGACCCGTTTCTCACCCCAATCCGGACAACTATTTTTGGAGACGACTGAGGATTCTACGCGTATTATCTCTGGGAGGGGCGAGAACAATGTTCGCAAAATCGCGTCGAGGGTCGTTCGACGTCCTTCACCTCCTTCGTTTCCCGCGAATGTCAAGCAGAAAAGCTTGAATGGCAGGCACTTGCCAGCCTTATTTCTCACAATGGAAGATAACACAAAAAGGGTACGCAGAACGCATAAAAAAATTAAGTGGAAACTTTCAAGAAGGGCGAGAAAACGTCGAATGCCAAACCGCAAAAACGTAGGTAGAGAACCGCGCTGAGCGAGTCTTCACAGTCCCAGAGAGTGGCAGAAAATTTCTAGCCGATAGTGGGCGCCAGAGTCGCACCAGCCGCATCAGCATCAGCAGCATGGCGGCGGCCTAGGAGCGTTTTTTGGAAAGGTGTATAGCAAGTGTGTGCGGGGATAGCTTTGATAAGCGCTAAAAATGCGCAAATGCGGCGATGCCGAAAACTCCTTTTATGACGTAACGCTTCGGGAAGGAGGTGCTTCAGCAGCACCTTAGAAATGTTTTCCTGCACACTCCATGCACCAAATTGAAAAAAAAAAAAAAGATTTTAATATTTGTGATTTTGGAGGTCAAAGAAAGACGATTCAAGCGTTCTTACTCGAAGGCAAAGTGCTTCAGCTTCTCTTTAAATGTTTAGGTCTGAGGTTTCTTTAGCCTAAATAACACTGTCACTATACGTATTATATATCCATCATCATTATATATATATCGATGGTGTTCCATGAAGAAGGCGAGCATGTTGTATAAAACAAGTCCGCTTCAAAGTTTTGTACTAGAAGCATATGAATGTGTATTTGAACTTAACAATCTTACGGCAGCATAGCTTAAATATGAACCGAGAGCTTGGACGAGACATTTTAAGGGTATAGTAGTTATCCCTTCCCCTGACTGTACGTCTGGAGTTGTTATAAATAGGGTGCCTCAATGTCCTTCTGTTTAGGGTGATGCCATCGTTTGTAGTACCCGATGCCGACAGCACGCGCTCACGGGTAAAATACAAAGAAATCGCAGGAAACAAAATGTCGCCGTAGCACAGTCAGCGCCACGAGCGCGTGCAGGGACACGCTCTTTCACGCGCTTCAGAACAAAAAATTAAAATAATCGTTCGAAACAAAATGGCCAGATGTCATCACCCCAAGGAAAGCGCACATGAAGGCACCCTAGTTATAAATAAAGCCAGCCTTTTCATTTTCAATTTTCCTTTTTGAAATCGAGTAGTTTAACAAGTTTGGCGGTGTGTTACGAGTATGCATCCAGCGGCTTACATGTTGTCTGAAGCACTCATCCGCTTCTTCTCTCAGCTTCGCTTGGATATCGGGATGCAGGGCAAGTAGGTAGAGAGTGAATGAAATCACGGATGACGTCGTGTCTTGACCCGCAAGGAAGAAGAGAACGCACTGGGCCATGGCCTCGTCTTCGGTCAAGGCTACGAGAGGTAAAGAACATTGAAATTTAGGAAATGCCAACAACGTTGCTTTGTTTATTTCATAGTGTCAAGCAACAATGACGCTAGATGTTTGCTTGACAAACATTTTGATCGTGGTGTAAATCAGCGGTCGCCGGACGCCGACCGCTGATTTACACCAACAAAAATGCACCCTCCAACCCCCCCCCCCCCCACACACACACACACACACACAAACACACACAAAGAAAAGAGGTATGTTCGGTTGCAGAACCGGTATAACCCACCGAATTAACTCTGAACAAGTTCTAAAGATTTTTTCAAATAGAACTTCCTGATTACCTGCTCCAGAAATAGGAAATAACCTGGAGATTGTGTCTGTAGCAAATGAATATTGTTAGATTTACAGCCGGCTCCCCCTTAATTATTTTTTTTCAAATCAAGGAAATCTTGCAGCGGCCTTGATCTAAGTGTTCGCTACAGCACGTATGTATCTCCGAACTTACTTTCACAAGATGAAGCCTGAGGAGTTAAACGTGGTTCTTGCGAATGAGAGATGAGCACCTCCAAAATATTTTACGACTCTCGGTTTCAATGTGAATGTTTGCATCTTGGCAACCAATACTGAACACGTAAAATTTTACTGAGAGATGACTCGAGCAATCATCTGTCACGTCTGTCTGAATCAAGATAACGCCTGTGCATACCACTTGTAGTATATGTGACAGTTTTTTTTTTATCTTCCATTTCTACAAGTTGACCCCCCCCCCCCCCCCCCCCCCCTTTTCCTCCCATCTCCGTTTCTGCGTCCGGCCCGGTCCGTCTCCGCTGTGCGGCGATTCGGCCCGCTGCAGGCAAAAGGCAGCCGACCACTGGTGTACACCCGCCTGCGATACGAAGGTGAAGCCGGACCGTCGACCGGTGCGTGCTATGAGCGCCATGACGCGGCTGCCATGACGGCTCGCTTTCTTATCGCTCGCTTCGTCGAGATTAAGCATTTGAATCGAGCGCTGTTCTCAGCTCTGCTGCTACTCCCCGCAGAAAGCGTAGAAGTGGGTTTCGATTTCGGCATCGCTTTTTGTGGGCGCCGTGCCATGTCATTGCCGACAAATGATTTGCACATTGCACGTGAACTAGAGCGGTCGTTGTTCCGCATAGTTTATCAGTAACTCAACCGCTTTTTTTTCACCCATGAGAGAACGCAAACAACTGCTAACGCTAATAACTGTTCTTTCTAAGAAACGGAAAGTATAAGTTACTTTCTGGTTTGTTCCGCAGCCTTCCGGTTTAGCACCCATATCACAACAAAAAACTACTAAATCTCATTGTCTCCCAATAGCGTTTGAAACGCTCCTTCCGCAATCCTCGCGCTTTCTGCGGGGAGTAGCAGCAGGGCTGACGACAGCGCTCGATGCAAGCGCTTAATCTCGGCGAAGCGTGCGATAAGAAAGTGAGCCGCCACGGCAGCTGCGTCCGCGCGCTCATAGCACTGACCGGTCGACGGTCCGGCGTTCACCTTCATATCGCCGGCGGGTGTACATAGTCTAGCTGTACAGATTCAAACGCGGTGAAAGGAGATCGTGCGCCAGACACAACTGAGGCATCGACGTACCAAAACTATGGTGTCGCAAAACCACGCATGGTTCCGCGTCATGAGTCCTTTAGAGCAGTAATTATGAAGCACGCATTGCATTGACATATGCTGTCGATTGCGTAGAAGAAAGAAATATGCGCGAGGGAAAGAGATACAGGTGAACGACAGAAAGTAGGGGCTTTTAAAGGCGACATAAGGATAAAAATTGTTTAGTGGGAGCAGAATAAATTGCAAAAGGATGGCAAAAAATAAGAGGAAAGAACAAACTGGGCAATATAGACACTGAGAAAACGAGGTAAAAAAAAAAAATTCGAGAGGCATCAGAAAGAAAGGGGCACACGAACGGGGTGACACCACGTGTGTGATAACTCAGGTAGGACAGTCCTTTCGGCCGAAATGGGGGTTTTCTCTGGCAATAAAGGTCCTTAAAATACCAGAAAAAGCCAAGGTAGAGATAAACTTCACGTTCTTCGGTGACGTCTTCGGTATCTTTCACCTATTTCGCCAAACAAGTGCCAAAGGTGAGTTTCACTGCAGGTAGCTTGGCTGTTATCTGGCACCCTTTGGCCTAAATCGCCAAAGCGGCCGACTTAGGCTTTACTGCTGGTTCTTCAGTTCATAGGTAGCATCTTTGGATCAAGTCTGGCATTTTGTAAATTATGAGGCGAGCCAGAACAAAACCGTAGAAATGTACCCTGGCACTAACCGTATTAGGCTCAAGTTAAACCTCTAGGATTGCCAAGCTTGTACCAAGTTCGGCGCGCTACCAGGAAAGCACCAGGAAAAAGACAGCCCCCCTTATTGGTGTCCAACACATGTCAAATAAGTCCGTCTCGCAGATCAACAAAGACAAAACAGACCTTTAACGCCTCCAAGAAACGAAGTGTCCGTCTTTATGTCCGAGTCAAGGTTGAAGAGTTTCTCTTCGGTCGATTGTGCAGTTTCAACCGTGGTTGCTATGCTACCATCTTGGGCGTCCATCATAAGTTGCAAGAAGTCCTCTTGCCTCTAAAAATAAAAGGTAAAAAAAAAAAACCTTTACAGAAGGGTGTGCGCACTGTTAAAATAATTATATTGTTGATATTTCTACTCGCTCCCCCAAACGTATTTTCATATAATTATATTTTATTGACCTAAAGGGCATCCTTTTAAAGAATTCATTACACGAGGAAGTATTAAAAAACACAAGATACACGTCTTATCAATCAAATGTAAGAAAAGAGACGAAAAGCAACACAAAAAGTGAAACAGGATTTTAGTCGATTGAGATACGACCAGTAAGACGATAATGACAAAAGTGATAAAAATGATAACTGAACACAAAAGAAAATATACATTAAGTAATCTCGCGCTACAATGATGCAGTGAAATTCAAGTTCGGGTCAGCAGCTTTGCAATTGATTACATTTGTCTATAAACCAAATGGCATTATGGCATGTGGTCAGGCAAATTTTTCCAGCCACTAATGCCAAGTGCTAAAGGGGAAAAAAGAAAAAGAAAAGTAAAAAGAAAAGCATTGCAATGTTTCTATTTCGGTGAATTTCACAATACCTGGCTGATGTGAAATTGATACGGCGGAAATAAATATACTTAAATGAAAAACTGTGTAATCCACCTCGTGAAAAAATGAAAGACGTTTACAACTCCCTGTAATGCAGAATTAGAGCGCAGCTCTTGAGGAGAAGGAGGGGAGGAGGGTATGCCCCCTCCTCTCCTCCTCTTCAGAGGAGAGGAGCAATATCATCAGCTGGAAACATGAGACTTATATTCCTTGCCTACATTTTTTGGTTACTTAGAAACAGTTGACTGGTGTTGCTTTTCAAGTTTATTTCAGTGAACTACTTATTGCTGATGGCGCACTTGGAACATTCACAGACATGTAGCATTTTATGGCGGGAGTTTATCTTTTCTTACGCGATCAAGAATCCAAACTTTAGACAAATTGTACAGGTCAGGGACTATTCTTTTTTGCGTGTTTGTAAGTTGTCTTGGGCGAAACAAAAAGATATACGTGGCCCTTAATTACCAGTCAAATGCGTCTCATCAGAGTATAAGCTTTAGAATACTGCACCATGAAACAGAAATCACGCTCTCGAAAATTTAGAACACGGGCTCTGCAACCTTGGAACGTGACCCTAAGCCCTAAGTTACGTCTGACCCCTCCGTGTGTGTATCTGCTTCCACAAGCTGGACAGCTAAGCACCTAATCCTGCTTGTGCATCAAGGGTAGAGGGTGTGTCGGGTGTTGGCAGGGACATTTGGGAAGCAACCTGACAGTTTTGTTTGTTTGAAGTTATTAAGATTTTAGACAGTCGAGTTAAAATGTTCCCAGAAGATGGTCGCCATGTTCTTGCTCCCTCCGCAACGAAATCCAAATGAGCAACATGGTAACACAGACCTGTAAAGATACTTACACTTTTTTTTTCCTTCCGACTCTGAATAATCCGGAGGCAGAGGTTCTTAAAGTAAAGAAATACATCTGTGTTGAATGCCTTCAGTTTAAAGAATTTGAAGACTCCCGGAAACAAAACTGAAATAGAGAAACAGGAAATAGCAAAGTTGTTGGCGCAATGCACCAATATTCTGAGCACATTTTTAGAGTGAGACAATTTAGAGCAAAAATAAAACGAAACCTGTCCTCTGAGTTCACGATAATACAAAGCGTGTTGAAAAGTTATGATGCACCGTGACTATAACATTAATAATATCCGTGAACTAATGGCAAATATTGCTATCGTAGTATGACTAACATATCTGCCTACCAAGCATTTTAGAAAGTTATTCCTAGCTAGCGGTTAGTGTCCAAGTTATACGTCCTATTCTTCAACTATTCCATTGATTACATTGCACTGTATGAGACTAGTAATGTCATGCAGAAATGTTAATAAAAAAGTAACTAAATTCAAATATGTTCGTTAACTTTTTGTACCGTGCGGAGGGTGTCAAACCGGTTTTGTGAACAGCAAGAACAAGAAACAAGTAAGAGTACAATACCGTAATCAATATTGTCATTTAGGTAAAAATATTAGAGGAACAATTATGTTCTCATCTAGTAGAAACTTATATTTCTGATCGCATTCACAAATCACAAACACAGTTTGGTACCTAAAATCCTCTCAATCACAGGTTTATCAAGTATTCTCAATATAGATGTTGTCACTACACCTGCTACCAGATTTAACATATTGTATATCTACGTGGGAATATTTGCTTCTCAAAGAGCCCAAATGGTGAGGTAGTGAGAGCACCAAATAAAAAAGACAGAAATACAAGGATGTAAAATAAATTTTTGAAAGATAGGACGAAGAGAAAAAAAATGGCCGTACTTAAAAGACGACAATCCGGCGCCAGGGACTGCATAAAATTTCATACTACGTATACCTCTATATAATCTTAATTTACAGCCAACCGAAAGTCTTTTGATAACTTGTAGGACTGGACAATATGCTGGCTAGTGGACTAGGAAATAAAAGCGGAGAATGGGAAAGAGACAATAAATTTTGCGTCAATATTTTTCATATAATATGAATAATTATTATATTAAGAGAAACTTAATCAAATAGCGTGAAAAATAAAGGCCGTTATAGTCACAGCTGTGGTCAGTCGAGGGCACTTTGTTATCGTTTCTTCACCAAAAAGATTGCGGCATAAACGTATAACAACTCCGAAGAAGCAATTATGAAGTTGCTTGAAGATAAGAAGTAATTATGAACTTGCTTGAAGATAAGAAGTCACTCCCCGCGTTTGTTAAGTTGTCAGTCACTGTACTGAATTGAAGATCAATAGGGGAAATCTGCGCAGTATACAAAAACATAGAAAATGAAAGTATGGACTTATACACACACCCAAATTGAATATTTAAGACGCATTCAGTCTCGAATGAAATGGCGTCAGCATCCACGATCACATCCTTGTCGTTCTATATCTCTCTAAAAAAGTTTATGGGTATCCCTATGAACGATGTTTTGACCCATGTAATATCTCGAGAGAATCGTAGCAGAGCAGGAATAACGAACTCGCGCGCTGGCTTTTGTTTCCGAGATAGCCGAGATGGGTGAATAGCCATTAAAAATATTCATTTTCCAATGCATTTTTTTCTTTACAGTGAATACGTTCTTCGCAGCATATTCTATAAAATAGAGCACTTAACTCAAACTTCCCTTTTGTTCACCGTATACAAAAGCCTGAATCAGAGACTCCAGACGAAAAACAAGTTGATGTTTTGTAAATCGGGCATTGCATTAAAGCAATATCCTACTTACAGAGTAAGATTAATGGCAGCGTTATTTTGCCTGAAAAGGCCTGCCTGGCTTTGGTGACAAACTCATCAGTCTCCTGAGTGTGCGAGTCCAGTCGGGTGGCGAAAGCGCATCTGGCAATCACATCGAGGGCGTAGTTTCCGTAGAATCTGAAAATAGACAACCATCTGAGTTTTAAAAATAACCAGCTAAATGCGACCCCCTTCCCATCCCCCTCCCCATTAGCTTTGGAGTAATCGCTTTCTGAGATTTTGCGTTTACTACTAGGCGCTTCTTTGACGTAATATCTACAAACCAGAAAACCAAACGGTAAAAACTTCAAATGTTTTCATGAAAGTTTACTTCCCATAACTCACTCACGGATTTTTCCGCAAACTTAGATTGTCATAGATCCGATCGATTCCCAAAGGTGTGTTTGAAACTCCTAATTGGGTGCTTCAATGTATGTATCGAATGATTAAAATTAAAAAAAAACGAATGAATGTGTCTACGATAATGGACCTATTTAATTTTTTTTCTGCAAAAGTTCACGCCTTCTAACAGAGTCTGTAAAAAATATCAGTAATGCCCTTTCTCAATTTTGATCGCTCCGGCACTGATTGCTGATCATACGTTTGTCGGTGGCTTATAAATCTCTAAAATTTTGATACAAGCTGGGCAAAGAGCATATATTAGTCGGATCTAAATAAACAACTTGGCCCATAGCTCCTTGCACCGCTTAAGCAGACAGCGAAAAGGAAGCTCGCATTAATGATGTCAAAAAAAAGGTAATGTCGCCGGCGGCATTAATAGCACAAACAGAATACGGACCACGGGTGCTTAAACTGAACCTTTCGATTCTGCGTCAAGGATAGTCCTATATCATATTAATATTTAAAACGAGAGAATATGTGATAAAGTGTGTTTTTCCTGTATGATTAAGTTCACTTTGAAACACCTGAGGAGTTAGGAAACAAAAGATAGAGTATACAATTAAACCTCCACGTTACCTTTTAAGTGTCCTTAGCAAAGATTTTTTTCCTATTTGCATTCGCAGGTATAATAACTTCTTCGGACATTGTTCTGGACACACATTCTCGGAATATAACACTTAAGACAACAAATAACCCAGTCCTGGCGCCCGCTGTTAAAACTTAGGATGCCAGAAGAACCAAACTTTTCTTACGCGGCCTTCAGGAGGCCTTTATAAATTCAGTTCCTGCAAGAGTCTTTCTGATCTCTACACAGGACGATATAACTTGTATGAGCAAAAAGTAGCGTAATGATTTACGAATATTTTCAACGGGAAAAAGGCGGATGACGAAGACCACAAGTACATGGAGATGATGGACGTCAGAAACCAAGTACGGGTACCATTTTTGCACTAAACATTTCAAAAATCTCTTACAACTATTTGATCAGATAACGGCAAGCTCTGAAAATTTGGCATGTCCTCCAAACTGCTTGCGCCACTTTCGGGCGGAGAGATACTGTTCGATTATGCGCAGTTTATTCTTGCAGTAAAAAACTAAGTTTTTCAAAGGCAAATGTCGTCAAATATTGGAACGAGCACGTTTAACATACCGGTAAAGCCGTCGTGCTACACAGACAATAAGAGGCCCACGAGCCCAGAGACCACAAAGAAGTTTTAAATCGCTTTAATTTGCAGTATTCTTTCTTTTAAGTGTCTTAGAAGACGTCTTCTCATCTAAAATATTGTATAGCAGAAACTTTCTTGTTGTCGGGAGGTAGAAAAAAATGTTCAGTGCATTCGTATATTCACTTACTGTTTAATGTCCAGTTCTCCCTCTTTTTCAGCGGCCATTTTCAAGTGTTCTGCTGTTTTCCTGGCACAGTCAGCGATCAAGGAATTCATCTGCAGCAAATGGCGTTGCATTGTGAATTTGAGACACTATAACTACCGTCTTGAAATAACAAGTTCTTGAGATTACCAACAATCACGGACGTGGTCCACACACGTCATCTATCTACAGACGCCAATACCCTGTATAGAATTCAATGGTGAAATTTGCCTTCTTGTTATAAAATAAAAAGAAGGGCACAGTTATCAGCGCGCCTCCAGCCATGGTTTCTTGATGGGCGTTGACATCGCCTCGACACAAAAAGATACCATAAACAAAAAAGAGTCGAGGGTGGTACCAAATGCAATTGAAATTCTACTTACTTCTATGGGAAATCTGGAAAGAGAGGCGAACTTTGCAGTATAAAATTAATATAGCCAGACCCCTAAAAATTGTAAGCGTTGATTAAAGAGTCAGGTTACCATGCGCGACTTTTTTTTGGCTAGGTAGATTCAGGGTAGTGCCATTGAGAAAAGTTCCGGAACGCATTTTGCACATCGTACCTCCGGGAGCCGCACGGAGAGAACGTTTTCAGGTTCATAAGCAACGTTTATGCTCCTCATATTGCCTGCGGTGAGGCGCAGCGTTTCAATAATGAAAAAAAAAAAAAAAAGTGTGGCGCAGTGGTTAGCGCGCCGGTCTTCCATTCCTCAATCCCGGGTTCGAGCCCACTGCAGTTCTTACTGTCGTGGGTGCAGCGCGGCGCTATTGTGGACCATCGATGTCTAATAAAATCTCACTAATTTCATTCGTTTTTATATTTATTCCGACCCGCAAACTAAAACTGATTTTCGTATTTAAATACGCTTTTCGCGTCATTGTCGAAGATTTTTTTACTTTTCTCTACATATTTTGCGTCCATTTTTTTCCCACTCTTGCAAACCAGCATGATATTACTTGTCGCAATTTTAATAGGATGTGTTTTTACCGTCTTCGTATTTGGTTTTTCTTTGTTTGCCATAGAGGGGAGTAAAAATCGGGAGCTATTTTTATGCCTGACAATCCGGAAAAAAATCGGGTTTTGCAAGGAGTCATCTTGGAATTCAAGTCTTGAAGGGTTATATTTAGAAAAAGATTGCAAATTTAAAATAAAATTCATTACGGCGCGCCGGTTTCAGTGCGTGATGATTTCTATTTACACTAATAAAACTAAACAACGTAAATATAGTACCAGAGTTGTAGACGTTATTTTCTAAAAATAGTAACGATATACATTTCTCGTTACTCGCAAATAAAAAGAACGCGCTACCGTTACCGATAAAAAGGTAACGCACGCTACTTTTTGAATTAAGAATTATCACGTTTAACTCTTTTGACGTTACAGGTGAGGTATCCATAAGCGCCATATTTAAAGAAAGATTATGCTCATCCAGAAGCTGAACATAATTTCCTTATCTTTCATTCAGTTTCACTAAATACTCACGAAAACAAAGAAACCCGCAAAGAATGCATTAAAAAAAGTACAAATGTGTATGGCTTGACGCCTAGAAACACGAAAAAAATTGAAGGGTACTTTTTTCAGACTTGGTAAGAATATATGTAACGAGTACCGCAAATAACTTGCACGTGACTCGAAATAAGTAACATAAGCATGTTACTCGTTACTGTTTTGAAAAAGTAACGAGCACGTTACCGGAAAAAGTAATGCGATACCGGTGACGTCGTTACTTCTAACGCGTTACAGCCAGCACTGGCATAATGCGCCGAAACAGTAGTGTTTGCGCTTGCGTGATATTTTTTTGTTTAACAGAATTTGTTTTTACTTATAACTTTTTACTTACTTTACTTAGAAAAAAAAAACACGTCAGTTTTTTTTTAGTAGCAGCGCAAGTTCTTTTATAACTTAAAACATTATCCGTATGATATTTCTTAGATAGGGTACGTACAATCAGTATTTAGCTTTTATGGACTTGCTTCCAGTCTCCAAGTATCATCTAAGCACGTTTGGAAGCGAATATGCGTTAGCGGTCACACAAAGTAGAAAAGATTTGTGAAATTTGAACTAACCACTTTGGGGACACATGTAGAAGTGATCCTAGAATGTCTTCTAATTTTTTTACTTTCAGCTGGTTTTCGCCTCAAAGAAAAGTGTTTTCAGGGAGAAATCAGGTTTATCCAGGTTTTCCTAAAACGGGTTCCGGGTACAAAAATAGAAAATATCAATACACTAAATGAGACGCTGCCAGAGCCTAGGCAACGGTTTAACGTAAAATGTAGAATTTTTATTGTAGTTTCCTATTAACCCATATATCTAAACGCAGACAATAATCATCCGTTACTGAGATTACTCAAAAAATCTCAATTGTGTCTTTGTTTCATTAATAATTTGAGGTCGTTCTATATTTTGGAAACTCGACAGACGCACCACTAAGCAGCTCTGTTCTAGAACTTAAAGCATTCAAAATAATATCAACAATGTGCTTGTCGCATAGAGAGGTGATTTCCTCCTAGCACTGACCACACCTCCTTTGATTTCTCTGAAACACGCAAAGTGGTAGGTGTGGTTTAAACCATTTAGTTATGTTTGGACTTTCGGCGTGAAGGCGTGCAGTAATATTTTTTTTTTTTTAAGTAAGAAACTGCTATCGAGTTTCTATGCGCAAGCTTGTTTTCTTATTTATACAGCTGCGGAACGCTGATCATTCAGTGGTCCAGAAGATTCTTGGCAGTACCGTTTTTTTCTTATGAAGCGGATATACTAGCTCGACTTGTTTTGCTCTTCCTCGGATATGTCGCCATGTTTATAAAGATGTCTTAACCCCGGCCATGCATAATGAATTTCACACCAAGTCCAGTGTGTTGTAAGTGCTTGATTTTCGCTTTAATTGTACCTCAGACGGTAGAAAACAGCTAATCGTACCTCCTGCAGTCAGCCCGAAGACACAGACTATGACTTCTGGGGGTGACCAAAGTTCGAGGACCGTAGAGAGGTACCAATGAATACCTTCGGCAAGGTAGTCATCAACACCAGCACATCAAAAGTACTCATGTTTCTAAGAAGTGCATGAACTAATCGGTTCGCGGCACCCTAACCGGTGCTTGACCTGATGGATGCGGCGGGACTATCTTCTAAACTTGAAAAACAAAATGACTACCTAATCAACGCATATCCCAAGATGGAGAACGCCTGAACTAATTGCTCTATGCGTCCCACCAGAAAAGCTATGTCCAGCCTTTGTTCTCTTCTTTTCTTTTTTTCTCCTCATGCACCTATATACTTTTACCACCTCTCCTCTTCCCTCAAGACGAAAAAGTTCACCTCGCTTCATGTAGACTACCATTTTGTCCCACACTTTCCATTTCTTTCGATTTTATGCAATCAATTATGTTTTACTTATGGTACAAGGAGGAAGGTAGAGGTTTGTGGAAGTAGAAGCGGGTAGGGGGACTTTGATTGAGAATGGTGCTTTGTGGGTGCAGGGGCGAAAGAAGCTACGCTTTGAAAATGCTTGAAGGTCGATACGCCACGTGTCGCTAAAATCTGGAAGTAAACTGCCGTGTCCCCGAAAGTTAGCCTTGGATTAGAATGATACATTGAGATAGCTCATTTAAAGGTATAGGATAGACAAGGCGTCTTTAATTTTAAATTCGCTATAGTAACCGAGAGCTTCAAACAACATGTAGCTTGTCCAGTCCGCAGCATCGGATATTCGCACCTAATAAGAATGTGGACTTATCTAAAAGGACGCGAAAGAACGAATTGCGATGCAAGAAGCGTGAACATAATAAACCACGCCATACGTTTCATCGACTGTCAGGAATTATGAATATTAACTCCTTACAGAAACAATACAGAATGTTTCTCAGTCGTTTTTTCGGTGACCATGCGCTTTGTGGTTCTCGGTCTACACCATTCTCAGGGAACATTTGTTATCCTCATGCTCCAGTTTACTGCCCATGGTATAGATAAATTATTCACGCACCCGGGACTAGAAATATGTCACGGTCTCACTCGTTTTATTTGATTCTGAGCAAAGGCCGTCTCCTTTCTTTACTTAATTCTCTTACAAGGTTTAACTCATCTAGGCACCAGCGTATATATAATACCCAAATTCTCAAAATTAATTCAAGATTTTATATGGTACAAACGTCAGGGCTGCGTAAGTTCAAGAAAGGGCGAGACATCAGTGAGTAGAAGTAGACATAAATGGCCGTGTCCAATTATAGTTGCATTTACATTAGGACACCCACTGGTGAATGTGAACGGCGCATTAAAAGTACTCCACCTTCGAAGGGCGCTCGTGCATATCTTGCGGCATATCCATTTTGGTTGCACACATTTCGCGGCATATATTTGCTTCGCAAGACGCTTTTGAATAATATTGTGAGTCTGAATGAATCGATTGTTTTATTACACACGGAGCATGTACAATGTGCCTGTGTCTTCGAGACTATTCGAACCAGCGCTTTACCAAACAGGAGATGCGCTGGCCTCTTTAGCCATGAGCCCTACTTATTTCTTTCTAACAATAGAGTATATAAAAACTTTTTTTGTTTGTTTTACGTTAGTAGTGCGTAAAGTTCAAGAACCCTCGACCTTTCAGCAACATCTAGTGGTGATAACAGTTGGGGGGACCTTCATTGTGAAGCGCAGTATACATATAACGCAGTTGCCTATGGTCCTCTTCCCTGCCCCCGCCCCCCAGAAACACACGAATTGAAAATCGAAGAAATTGAACACGTTCAACCCACATACGCTCGCGAACATAACTATGAATGAAATATTGCAAGTTTACTCCCTCAAGAGTTATGACGCTAGGTCTTTCACCCTTTCTATACAAGTGAAATGATCAAACCTAAGTCACGGTCAAAGATAAAATATCTGCTCGAAGACCCATTAAATAGAGGCACAAACCTTGCGCAGCTTTCCTGTAGAGAACGCTGGGCTTGCTGCTGGTCGGATCCTCCTCCATTTCTCGACAGGGATGATGCTCATCATGTTGTCCAGAAGCGAATCGTTGAAACTTAACACCTGCGCATCAGAATGATTATCACACTCTCATCACATTCGATGTGATCAAAGCCAAAATCTAGAGGAGCGAGATACGCGCTTTGAGGGTGCCTGCCTGCCGTGCACCCGCGGTTGTGCAGTGCGAACGTTATGCAAGTAAACATGTCCACGCGTGTAGCTTTGGGTACAAGCACCAGTACGACCCCGCCTTTAGCCATCTGGATTTTGATCAGCATTATACCAATCAGGTTTGTGCAATCAGGGCTCCGGTCTTGCAATCTTATCATGGTGCCTGGAACGCGTCTCCGACTGGTATGCCTAACGTGTCGTCGAACGAGGACGCTGCAGGCATACTTCCCGATAACGCCATTATGTAAATGACCTAGATTGTAGGGAGGGCCCAGAACGAACCGGTCGTGAGAGTTTCAAATTTAATGGCGGACACTTCTTGCGGAGATTGATTGCAAGTGCCCATGCGCTGCGTTGTCACTTGTCGAAGAGGAAAGGAGGCGAAAACGTGAAGAGACTTGTAGACGATCAAAGCCTCTTCCCCCTCTTCGCAGCTCGTCGCACAAACGCGGCCCATACACCACGTGACGCCGACCGAGCAGTTGGATACTCTCTGTAATACAGGCTCTCTAGTATCGACATGTTACCTGTCACGACCCTGGCGATGGAGCCTCAGCGGACACGGACATACCAGACGCTCGTTCTGCTGTTGCTCGCTCTCAGCTGGTCAGTCTACGGAAGTTTCTGCAGCAACGAATTGGGACGCCGCGACGACAACAACATTTGCGTTCGCGGGTTTTTTTTTTTTTTTTTGAACTTTTATTTTTATTGCCAGAATTGCCATAATGAAAGCTTGACACGCCGGCTGCTTTTGTCAAATTTAATTTCACATCAAGACCTATGCATGAGCCGTATGGGACAGAACAGCTGAGGATGCGTTAGAGGGAGCCTAGTCTGCCTGTAACGTTGTGTGCGTTGTGAGACGTTGTGTGTTTCGCCCTTTTTTTCGTATCCTTCTTTTTCCTTCTTCCGGTGTGTCAGGTCTGGTTATGTCTGTTATTCACCAGCTTGCCTGTACTTTTATATTTCTCTCAGTGCAGTCTTACTGCAGCGACTTACTTGCCCTTCAACAGTGGCGATAACAGATAGAATTTTGAGGAAGTCACTCTTTGTTGCCTATATCTTCACGTAACAACTTTCCCTATACAGTAATGACTTGCGCCGAAACGCCTCTCCTCCGAAAAGTATTTCGATCGACGTTAGTGCACCCGTAGTTCAGCGTACAGGTTACACCCAGATTCGTTTCCTTGGCTCGACGATGCAGTCCCTTCAGTGGCTAATTAGGCATTCTATAAATTTATTTTACCAAAGTTAGGCCTCTTTCGGTCGAGTTTTTTTTTTTTTTTTTATTCCTTTCAGGAATATTTTAAAGTCCGTCGTGCTTTTTGGCCCAGCAGGTGTGAAATTACTGTGAAAGTGACGAATAAAAACTAGCTATTTGTGGTTCTGTTACGTATAGCAAAATTTGTACATTTTCACTCTCAAACTTATTTGTTCAAAGTAATTTGCGATATACAAATTGACATCAGTGAAGAATGCTTGTATTGTGAGGAATACAAATTGGCACATGATTGTAACATTGCAGGAGCACACGGGAAGCTACTTGATAAAAGAAAAGACTGTGCCATGTGAATCACTAAAAAAAAAAAAAAGATGATACATGTCTTATGGCTTGAACAAGACGCTGTCACTGCTTAAGCCAAACCGGTACATAACTCGACACTTACTCACTTCCTTCCTCATTCGGTAATTTCTAGTACAAAAGAGAGAATAAAATGTATTCGTACTTAATGCTAAAATTACTGCCCATGACTACATACGTTTGCGAAGCAGCCACGCTTCAAAAGCTAGTCTGGCCATTGTGGATCGAAAAGGCTTTATCTGGGCGCCAATTTGGCTATCACGGGCACGCATTATCGAGACGTCGCCAACTAGACTATAGGTGGCACAAGTTACCGCCCTCTCTAAAGGGTACTGCCGTTAGCCTCCATTCATCCTGACTTGGCTATAAGATTACCTGCACTCGTAGTAAGTAAGGCTGCCGTGCCCAGATGCCGTACTGCCAAACGTCTATACTCCCACGCACCTTAATTACTATATAGGCCCTAGCAGTGCCTATATAGTAGTAAAGTGGCATGAGCCGCATCGAGTAAGTTGGCATGAGCCACCCTACTCGATGCGGCTTGAACGCGCCACGCGACTACGCGCCTCACGCATCGCTGCCCTCCTCCCAAAGGTCACGTGACGAGCACGCGGCGTTTCATTCAATTGGATGGCTCGCAGCATCGTCTGCGGTTCATCGTGAAATAAAACTCAATATACGCACCGAAAAAAAAAAGATATATAATAGAATTAAGGCTAGCTGAGCTCTCAGAGATCGCAATCAATTGCGCGTAAAGGACAGGTTCAACCATCCCACTCACCCTTCTATTTGGCAAGGAAGGAAAATCTTTGACCAGAACGCGCTTCACCAATTCCGGATCAGCCACAAAGAGCAGGGGTTTTGCGGCTTCGTAAACGCTGAAAGTAAGCCCAAAATGTGCGGAAAGCGTGATTAGAAGATAGTTTTAAAGTAGGCGAAAGATATGTGAACTCACCCAAATAATTTCCCAAATTGACGGTATCTATCCTGGTCCATTTGATGAAATGGCTGAAATATACATCAGTCATTAAAATACAACAGGCTCGAAATATTGCGCGAACCTCAGATTGCATGCCTCTTCGTGGTAATTGCGTCGCTCTCTGTAGAGCTGTTAGACTTTCTACAATAAATAAAACTTGAATTCACCAACTTTAGTTGTTTTTTTTATATATAAAACAAGCATACAAGGAAGAAAATACTTCTTTCACTCAAAAATGGAATGCACGTGCTAGGCACCGATCTAATCATGAACTACGTGGAGCTAATTTTTATGAGAGCTATTTATTGCGAGACATCGTAATTTAAATTTGCGAGCGAGAAATGGATATCTCTGCATGCAGTGCAGACTGTTAGTATATCCACATAGTATGCCTATCACCGTTATCCTACTATTATAGCTTAAGAATAGACACATAGGAACAGACACTGTCCGAAGTGTTGGAAGATTGCCATATACGCATTTAGAAATTCACGGCTCCGATCTTTAGTTTTAACATGTTGACTTCAAAATCGTATAGCTCAGAACGTTCGAGAGCTGTACAGAACAGGTTTGTTAAAAAAATAACTACCGTGGATATTGTTTACGAAGTCCTTCGTTCAAAAGGAACAGCTACGTTTTTCAATTGCCGGTCCATTAAAACTTGCTATACCTGCAATTCAGTTTATTTACATTGTTTTAGAACATCCAGCATAAGATTCTCACCTTGAAGATCATTCGTCGGGCAGCCGCAAATATGAGAGAGAATTCTTCGTGAATGACATTCTGGTTTTTCCAGTAGTTTCTGTATCTTGCTGCATACCTTAGAAAAAGCAAAGAACCAAATGAAACTCCACATATCTGCATAGAATCTGCAGGGTGAAGAATATGTGTCCTGATGGAGAGCAACCGCAAGAATATTGAAAACGTTATGACCTGCATCTCAGATATCGGCTTTTGTTTCTTATTAGCGCAGTCTATTCTCGGTTTTATAATGGTGTTGCTGGAGTGTGGTAGACGTTCATTACAAGGTTGTAAAGATTCATTACAACCCAACGTATTAAGTAGATGCCTTTTTTAGCAAATTGACGACATACCCCTAAAATATCAAAACGACAGCATACACTCCAAAGAACCTGACCGTTTTTAAATTCTATCATCAATCAAACTTCCTGTGTATAGGACTTCGTGCGCATTACGCAGAATGCATTACACGATGTCATCTAATAAGCAAACAATAAGTGTATCAATACGCTATAAAAACAAAACCTATAACACCTACACACTGCGGAATTTTAATAATGGCCTATTTAAAATACTTAACAATAACTATCCAGGATTTCCACCCTGATACTTCGACGCCGGTCAGGCTTTTTTAAATCTCACAGTGATACGTTTTATGTTGGATTGTATATTGGCTAACCTGCCATTACTGCAGCAGAGCTATTGTACCATTTTCTTTTAGTTTGATTCTAGAGTGAACTAATAATTTTACGGGAATTCCCTAGTTATATTCCGTATTTATTCACCATTAACCTGTCTGTATTTTTGAGAGTTGTTGGCATTACTACAGAGTCCTTAACTAGGCTAAAGATAAGACAAATAGCATACATTACTAAAACAAAAAAGTGGCGCCGCCCGCAGGTCGCCATACCCTCAATAGTCATACGTCCATGTAAACTGACGCACGCGAATTCATTTGCCTACTTAGTCATGGAAATACATCATCTATCCCATGATCTCTACTTTTTGGGGGCACATCTGCGTATCCGTCCACTGTCTTCACTCACAGCGCAACTTCGCAAGGTCAAGGATAATATAAAGGATTTTCTCAAAAAGCCACGTCTCTAGTCTACCACTTACCACACTCTCACGCATGGTTCTCAATGTACTCCCTCATAGACTCTTTTATTCTTCATTTACACTGCAGTCATTGACAGCTTAAAGGGAAAAGGGGGATCGGTGGCCGAGTGGGCTAGCGCACACCAGCTCGGAGCACGTGGAGCGAAAGCTCGCACTGCAGAACAAGGACCTAGACTCAATCCCCCCCCCCCCCCCCCCTTGCCCGTTTTGATCTTGATGAGGAGTTTACCGGCGTGCGGTCTTGTATCACTACTGCGTGATGCACGTTAAAGACCCCATGCTAGCGGTTGTACTACACTGGATAAATTTCTTATCTACAGCTGGCTTGGAGACTCGTGGCCTGTTTAGGTGGACCAAGTTCTAGGCTGTATAAACATACATACAAAACCGAATTTTTTTAAAGGGAAACTGAAGCGGTTATGCATATGAGTAAAAGCACTTTAATCATATTCATGTTGCCTCCAGGATTGCGAATATCGAGATTATTTTTCAACTTGGTGCACGGAGGTATCAGAAAATCCTTTTCAAAGTACCGCTGAAACACCCCCTTCCCGGAATGTGGTGAAGTCATATAATGAGTTTTAAGAATATCCGCTCTCGTGCATCTTCAGCGCCTATCAAACCCAGTTTCAAAAAGGAAAAAAAAAAAAGACGTCATTGTGGAAAAATACAACTGGCAAGCTTGCAATTGCACGCGCTGCCCACACGAGCGACACGCGCTTGGCTGCCCAAAGATCCTAGTGTGACGTCCCGACTGGTCAAAGGTTTTTCGTGTTTTCTCGCGTTTAGGTACATCTTCGGGCAAAACGAACGTGATATTGCCACGCGCAGGGCTGAACAAGCAACGCTCGGTCACGGAATTCTAGAAGACTAACGTTTATTAAGGCGAAAGCCTTGTATGTCTTACTGTTCGGTCGACCTTCAAAGTCCTTGAGCGAAAACACGTCGCCGACACGAAAGGCACAAAAACACTTCGGCGACACAAAAGGTACCAATGAAACGGTGCCAAAAGTGCGTCGTCAGGAGCGCGCTGTGTTCGGAGGTTCGCTATCACGTTTACATCGGCGCTTGGGCTTTCGCCTTCCAGTCATCTTAGGGATTACATAAAAGACCCTGTGATTTTTTTTTTTAGTGCACTGTTCATCCTCGCGTTACCTTCCTTTGTGGCAATATTCAGATTCAAGGAATACAAATACTCTAGACTTCATTAGTAACTCGTTTTTTTTTTCTTGTTTTTTTTTTTTCAAAACTTTTTTCCGTTTTTTTTTTTTTTTTTTTTTTTTTTTTTTTTTTTTTAAGGCGTGTCAAGGCTTATTGTTACCACGGTTTCTGTTTCGTGATTTGGTTTTTTTGGTGCTTTTATCGGTCGAAGCCGGACTCGTACTGCCTGACGAGAGATAACAAGATTATCGGATTTCGCCACGCCCATTGCTTAGCAGGTTGCCGGTGACTCTATCGTGAACTCACAATGGACCTTTTCCGAGAAGCGTTCTGCGCACGCGCGAGCGCCCGATGCCAAGCGGTGGAAGTCGGCACGAAAAAATCGAGGAAATTCGGAATGAGGCTGTAAATCGACGAGTAGAACACGTAATTGCAGCATATATATAATTGTGTTACACAAAAAAAGAAAGTGGACGGAAAGAAAAACACGACGTTTGGGTGGACGCTACGGATTTCCTTCTTTAAAGTCGCGCTAGGCCTACCTCGTTGCGTTGGGCACGCGACGCTGCTCAGAGAGCGAAGCAACTGGTAACGTAGCTCCCATTATCGATGGTAGCGCAGGTAGGTCACTTCCTTGATTTTTAGTTCGTGCAGCCACCGCCTGGTGCCGTCGGTATTTGGAAAAGGTCTATTAGCGCAAAGGAAAAGGACAAGATGAAGGTACGAACAGAACTAGCGCTACACTTCACTATTTGGTTAACGTATGAAATAATTAAGACAAGAAAAAAGTTACAAATCTTTTCACACACATGCACACAAAGAAAAGAGAAATTAAATAATGTCAGATTGAAAAATGTATCCTTTTCCGTTTTGTCGCTTGCACTAATTGGTTTCACGGTGTGTATTGGCGACGTGAGCGATCGAAAGCGTTGCTGCGATCGGCCTTCCATGATTAGCGGAATGCTGACTATGACGTCAGCAAAGGATTTCCCATCGACGGAAATAAGAGTAATGTAAGAAATTCAATTTTGACGGTGTTGGTAGTGTTAGCTTCAAAGCGCAATGATTTCAAGCTGCCACAGTGCTAATTACAAACAGGATCGAACTTGTTGTTCACAGGATAATGACGTCACGAGTGGCAACCATAGGAGGGCGCCACCAAAACATCTCACCGCCAATACGTCTAGCCCAACACTTAATTTGGACCGTAGCAAGTCTACTGTGGGGAAACTTTCTCCGTGTGAATTCCGTCGTTCACACCTATATGGTATGAGTTTTCATTCATCAGCGGTGCATACTACTCCCTTCCGTTACCATGGTTCACCCCACACCCCCAAATAATTGAAGCCTCCTCATCGCCTCCCCTCTATTATGAAACCTCATGAAGTCTTCTCGTGCTAACTCGGCTATTGGCCCCGAGTCTGCCCTTCGGCGCCCTGAGTGGGCACGAGTCCCGGCCGAACACTGACGCAGCACTCGGGCCCACTCTCAGGGCTCGATCGATCTGACTGTGATGACGGTGCGGAGGCCTTCTGCATATCTAGGTGCAGAAACACACAAAAAAGTCAAATCAAATCAAACGATCTTATTGCGCATCTGGATTCGCACACTCTAAAAATCTGGGGAGACTACTTGGGAGAATCAAACGCGGCAATCTACGGAGGGAGGTCGGCGATTGACAAAGCTAATAACATGCTTAATCAAATTATAGGAAAAGCCTTAAGCTTCGCATTTAAGGGTGGAACGTGATAGCTAAACATATGGTAAAGCTTCGCTCGTTCCCAAGCCGTACAACCACTGTGGCATTACGCAATGCAAGCGTGACGCTTTGCATTGCGTAATGCCACAGCGCGGACCTCATTTTTAATTCCAAACGGATGTTTCGCCTCATCACACGCTGGGCTGATTTCGTAGATCGCAGAGATTGGCTCTTGGAGTGTTTTGCGGGCAGGTGGACACGCAAGCATTTCTTAGAGTGCATCAACCAATCCTGGATTTTCGCGTCCCACCGACGCCGACGCCGGCTTTTGTGCGACATGAGCACCTTGAAGCTATTGATTAAAAAAAAATCAGTCCGTGCTGCGGAGCACCCCATCAAGTCCGGACCCCGATAACGTGACTTCATGAACAAGACGCGCAGGGTGATCATTGCGAAAGAGCTCGGGAGTTTCATCAGCATCGACGTTTTGGAGGACATTTCGAAGGACATGTCGCACGAGACGGCCGAGAATAACACGAACGCAGCACTCGGGCGACAACGCCGCGGAATACGGTGACGGAGACGGATACTGGGTAGGCGAAAGCTGAGCGAAGAATGCTTGGGCACATGGATGCGAGCATTGGCCAGTATTCGAAAGGAATCGAGGATGGGCAAATTTTAACTGCGCTTCGGGACAAAAAAGAAGAAAAACAGAAGAAAGGAGACAAGCCACTGAAGATGTCTTTCTTTTCTCACAAGTTACCAGAAAAAAAAAGTGTCGGGTGATGTATATGAGTATAACAAATCTCGCGTACGCAGCTTGTTTGATTTCTAATTAGTTACATACCAAATATAATAAAGTGTCTGACAGACCTGAATTTGTAGATATATGTCAAATTTCGTTTGTTTTATTATTATTATTATTATTAATTATTATTCTTGTGCAAAAAAAATTGATTTTTTTGTTACCACTAGGACACTTTGGGCAGTGTACTTCGCTGCCTCCATTTTAATTTGGACGTATCCCTTCATGCAGGGCACCCTTGTATTTAGTCGGTTGCTCGCATGAAAGGATTCCTTCTTGGGCGGCAAGTCCGAGCCCCTGACTACACATTCGAACATCATTACCTAATCCTAATGTGTTTCATTGTGCGGAGCTGTGGAGAGGAAGTGACACTTAAGGCCACTTCGCGTAGAGTCTGAACAATCAGAATGGGGTTGTGGACACGCGCTCAAGGCCAAAGCCGGTCGCCTGAGCCCACGTGCTGCTTACAAGGTCATTCCTAGAAAAAGCAGTCGTATGTGCCGCCAGTCTCTCCTTGATTTATTCCCTCTGTCGACGTCGTGTTTTAGGAAAATTATTGGCATAGCTTAGGATGAACAAATCCGTTTCAGGGTCTATTTGAACACGCAGCGGTATTATAAGAGCACACCCCCAGGATAGGAACCCGTCGTCCTAGAAGGACAGCACGGATCAGCTAGACGTTTGTAGTCTCAATAGTGCACTAAGCAATTACTTTCATACATTGTAAAGCGTAGCTTGTTTGCTAAATAAGACAACAATGTTTTGACGCCATTATGCAGTAGTTCATTTTCCGTATCATATTCTTTCGTCCAAGGTACACGCTCTTTGAAGCCATACGTCGAGATTACAGAAATCTGATCGGAGAAAGGAATAGCTCAATGTATGTTTGTGTACAGAGGGTATAAATATTTAAGCGGGTGCTCTCGCCCTATACGCAACACGAAGCATTATACACTAAGCGATTTATTATGACCACGTGTCACATTATGATTACTCTTTCGATTACTTCGAGTTACTACTAAAACAATGGACTTTAATTTACCATATTTGACATCTTGATGACTTGATTACTTTGAGCTAATACTCAGTGAATTGATTTGTTATAAGCTTGCGGTCACGTGCGCACGCACCGGCACAGCGGTTCCAGAGAGAGCTTTTCTCCGCTCGACCGACCGGCCCTTGAGAATTGCGAATTACATTACCCGGCTCAATTGCTGCATCATCAGCGGACGTTGCCACTCGCTTGCACATGTTCCGAGCAACATCCGTTGCACAACATTGGAGAATATCCTGGCAATCTAACCATAGCACGGCGAATACTGCTGCCCCATCTGGCTGACGTATTGCCTCGCGTTTTTTTGCATAATGTTTTAAATCGTTTTTCGGTATTCTTATATTAAAGCGATTAAAATGCATATTTTCGGAAGCATTTATTTTAACCAACACTGAGAAAATGGCTCCATAATGTATAATGCCGTCACGTCATATTTTCTTGTAAAACAAACAACCTGCAGTTAACAGACCACCAGCAAACAATACATCTCTAAATGCAGTTCCAAACTTAGATTTCTACATTTCTATTTTTTGCTCGATATATAGTTGTTTTATAACCTTATCAATTTATTCTGCTGTGCTCAAGACATCGGTTATAATAGAAGTGGAGAACCGCATTCGCAAGGACTCTTTTTTGTAGAAACAACTTGTAAACAGAAACTACTGCCTAATAAAAATACCACCTTAGCCGGAAAGTGAATACCATGAACAATTCCTCCTCCTTTTTTTATCCCTTTTTACATTGCAAATCTGAGAGCTTTACTTACAAGTACAGCAGGACCAACGCAGTCGCCACCAGGATTATCCAATCCGGAACGCCCAAGATCTTCATCTTGAGCCAATCTAGGTCTTGTTTCGCGCGCACAGAAGGGTCACAATAGCGCTGAACAAACACCTGCAAGTACAATTCGAGTTTCTTCCGCGTTCCTTACCTAGTATCAATGCGCAATGACATAATAAAGAAAGCTAAACGAGACGTCAAAAGACAAACCCGGAAATGAAGACACCAACCGAAACCGTAGTCGCCTCACAACAACGAAGTCACAAGAAGGTGTCCGGCTCCTCTCGAGCGTCAAGGGTAACTGGATGGAAGGCAGTGGAGGCGCTACTCGCACGGGGCGGAAAGGGGACACGCCGAATGCGAAGGGTAACGCGGGCAAGGGAAAACAATATGCTGCCCTTGAGCGACACCACCTTGCGTGTGCTTGGAAGGGCGCTGATTCTCTTTTTGCCCTTGATCGGAGGGAGAGGGCACTGGGCGATGTCACAATACCCTGAAGTGTTTTTTTGCGACCGCCCTGAGATTACGTCAATCGGAGGCGGATTGCCTACGTCGTTTGGGTCGACGTAGCCACAGATGATAGTAGGTTATGCATCGGGTACCTTGTTTTCGGCGTTATATTCTTCGAATTCGGAGGCGCCTTGTCGGAGTTTATTTTTTTCCACACATTCGTTGTTATTGTTTTTTTTTTTAATTTTTGGTGTTAAGCGAGAAACCGGTGGTAATCGAGGCGTATGTGGAATAAGACACGGACATGGCAACCCCCCCCCCCCCCCTTTTTTTTTTTTCAGAGAACAAAAGTGCTTGACCTGAACATTTACAAAACGCCCCGGTACCAGACAAAAACGAGATAAAGTGCGTCGCTCCGAAGGAAGCAGCAGCCTCGCGGACAGTTAAATGTAGGCTTTTTTGTTCTTGTTCAAACGAAGTTAATGCTGTAGAAAAGCTTGCATTTATTTTATTCAGGCAAGCTCCGATTCGGCGCATTTGGGTTTACCCTGATTTCGGTAAAACCGGGCCGGTGGTTAATAGTCGGGGCTTATCACTAGTTACCGAAAGCACGGAACCCTTGACCCTTACGCACGTTCGTTCGTACTTTAGCAAAAGAAAGAGCGTATACACAAGCGACCAGGAGACGTGGAAGACGCATGCAATGCCGCGGTAGCTCGGCTCTTTATTTAACCAAGCAGAAATAGAGAGTTTTAGAATAGGATGCCCCAGCACTTGGGTTTCCCTAAGAATTAAAAAAAAACCAAACGCAACAAAAAAAATTTTTTTTTTTTTTGCAACGTAAGGCGGCCTGCTTACGTTTCCCGCTTGTAGCGCCAGTGCGGCTAAGGAAAGTAATAAAAAAGAAGACTATCAAAAAACGTAACACATATGCGCTTAGCAAGTAAATCAGTATAAGTGTTGTTGGCAGTATTCAGCCAAAACCATCCAATCCATAGCACTCTTATTTGGCGCTAGTACTTGAATTTTCTTGGCGTTCGAAGATTTAGGCCAACCTCCGGACACAGAGCGAGTTGCGCGGCCGGAGCACGGATGGCGCCACCATAGAGGTGTACAGCAGCGCTCGCGTGGTCGGAGGCGCTCATTACTAAAAACGAAACAAAACAATAATGAATCAATCTTCATTTAGCTCTAGTTATGACTGCATATAATTTCACTAAATATAAATTACGTATTCTTAAAAATATGACATAGCTTTTTAAAAGTTCGTCTTAATATTACGCTCCCAAAATTTTGCCTTTTTTTTTTTTTTTCGTTTCTAGAACGAAACCGCTGCATGCGCGCTTGCGCTCTGCGCGTTCTGAAACCGGTGGACCGTTGTGGAGGCATCCGTGGATCTGCTCAGTGCTTTCGCACTTTCGCTCGCCTTCGGTGCGTCAAGCGTCGGCGCCTCGATCATCGCACTGCGCGAGCTTCGCACTTTCGGGCCAGTGGAAGGCTTCTCGTGTCTTTAAACTACCTTATTCGTGCGATTACGCAAAGTGGTGCCCAAGCAGCGTCGGGGACAAGAAGCACCCGTTCGTTCGGATCCCGACTGACGACGGTGAGTTTGAAAGTTTTCACTCCAACTAAAACTTTTGCTAAACTTATCTTCCAGCCACAAATTGCACCGTTTGATGGTTTTGCACTTTTAGAGCGCAGCTCTTATTGGCCCGTTTCCGGCTTGAGCGGCGCCGCCGTCGGCGTCGGCGTAACCGCGCGGTGCATTTTGGGAAACATCCCATAATGCACCGCGCAAGCCCCCCCCCCCCCCCCCCCCCCCCCGGGGTCACGTGTCGTGCAGTCGTGTCGTGTTAGCGCGTCGAGTTAGCGCGAACACTATGTCGTGTTTGCGCTAACAGTGTCGCACATTGTATCTTCGCTGTAGCACCTATTGCTAACGTATACTGCGCGCATTATTAATTGTTTTCCGCATAGCAACGCTTGTTTAAAGTGACAGTGTAAATTGTTTTTCCTTGACATGTAAATGACTGAATAAATGCGTCAACGAGTGCGAAAAATGCGGCATCTGTTTCGATTTCCTGGAAGACGCCGACGACAAATAGCGGAATTAGTCACGTCCCGTTTTTTGAGAATGCAGAAACAATCATCTACATAGCGCAAGAGACGAGACTAATTTTTTGGCACACCTCAACTCTATCGAGCCGGCCATTAAATTTACCGTGGAATCTGAGACGGATGGCACCATGCCGTTCCTTGATGTGCTGGTGAACCGACGAGGACAAGATCTGACGTTTGCGGTGTACCGAAAACCAACACACACCGGACGCTACCTCGATTTTGACTCCAACCATCCAACGATTCAAAAGGCCTCAGTGGTTTCGACCCTGCTGCGTAGGGCAACGACTATCTGCTCGTCGGAAACCGAGAGAAAGAAGGAAAAGAAGACCGTAATTGAAGACCTAAAGAAAAATGGCTACTCTAGTAGCTTTATTGAGTGCATCGCCCGACGCCAAGGTCTCGCCAGACAAAACCATGTGCCAGTAGAAGAACGACAGCCCCATCGAGTCGCGCGTAAAAGCGTTCCCTACGTAAAGGAAACAACCGAAGCGCTCGCGCGAGTACTGGGAAAGGAAGGTATTCTGGTGGCCCACAAGCCCACGTCCACACTGGGAAGTTTTATGCCAAGACCGAAAAACCGTCTACCAAAGGAAAAAAACACAGGGCGTGGTTTACACCATTCCTTGCACAGAGTGCCCCGCAACCTACATCGGCGAGACGAAGAACTTTCCTGAGCGTATCCGCCAACACAAGAACGAAGTGCGGAAGTTTGACAGTGAGCGCAGCGCCATGGCCGAACATTGCGATACCCTAGACCATCGCATTGACTTTGCGAACGCGCACGTGGTGGACGCAGAGCCTAATTTTTGAAGAAGACTTTTCTTGGATTCGTGGCAAATCCAGCACACGCCAGGAAACCTAAGCAGGTCGCTGGACGCTCTGCCCTCTGTGTACGCGCATGGCCTCCGTGACCTGACGGAAAAGCCGAAGAGACGACCATCTTCATAACTAACAAGTTATTTTACAATTTTTTCGATTTCCTAACTTCTCCTTTTTAATTTTTCCTTTTCTCTTTCTTTCTTTTCTTTTTTGAAGACGAAGAGGTTGGGAGCTGCTGCTGTGTCCGCGTGCCTTCAGTCACCCCTGAAGAAGAAACCGTCTTGGTTTTGAAACGTCGGGTTGCCTTTCATTTTTTAGTTGGAGATACATTTTCAGACTTTAACCCTCACCCAACCAGGCAGATATCTGTCGAATATGTTTACTTTCAAACAAAGCGTTTGAAAAAAAAAATGTGTAGCTCCCGGTCTTAGCGCGTTATCAAAACAATAAAAATTTATTTCTTTCCTTGGGGCTTGGGCGAGTTGGTACATACTTCGGAATTAAAAACAGCGCGAAAAGACGAGGACCAGACAAGGAATTGACACTTCGGAATTAAAACAGCGCGAAAAGACGAGGACCAGACAAAGAAGTGACACGGACGTAGCGCTGACTTACAACTGAGTTTATTGAACGCAAAATTGCAATATATATTTGCGGTGTCACGAACAAAAGAGACAAAAAGAATTCAGCCCATGGAATGCATCGCCAATCAAAATAAAACAATGATAAAAAATATATATATATAAAAATAAAAAAATGCGCCATGACACAGCCGCACAGAGTACGTGCTAAAAAACGAGCAAGTCAGGGAACCAGAAAATGCATCTCTTTGCCTGATAGGGCCACAGAAGGCCCTATCAGGCAAACTTTCAGTTTTTTTTTTTTTTTTGTAGCATCGTAAGAAACTCTGAAAAACTTAATGAAGCACAATCAAAACGCGACCTCAAAATAATTCACGTTGCTCGCCGAAAGAGCTGCTCAAACCTAGGGAACTACAGGCCTATTTTGCTACCCAGACGGCATCGATGCTACCGACGCAATAATTTGTCTCACCATAACATATACTAACTCCAAAGGTTACAAATGAAACCTTCATGAGTTGGGTCCCACCGCAAATGCGGTAGAGTTTGTATATACATCTGAAGGGAAGACAATTTTAATTGCCGCATCTCACACGTTCGGCATAAGATTTTTTTTCTTTTTTTATCTTTATGTGGTTTATATCCGCCGTCTCCAAAGAGGATAGTGTTCGTATTGAAAAGCAAAAATCTGTTCTTAAAATAATTTGTAACCAAAGCTAATAAATAGGTCATGAGGAAACATCTCCCATCTCTAATTACAGTAAAGTTAGTGAAATTCAAAATAAAACCAACACCCCAAGATTGAATCACGACTAGTTTGGCACTTCATTCAATCCAATAAACCAAGACACTATAAGTCCAGAGCACATGAGACGTCGTGGCAATCCGCGCGAAAACGTATATTTCACAGTTGATTCATTCAAAGCTCTAGTACACTGTGAAAATGCAATTATTTATTGAACAATGTATTACAACCGGACGCAATGCTTAACGTATATCAATATACGAGACTACACCGTCATGAGAAACCCATTACAACCAACCCGTACTATTCGCCCTATCAAACGGTATCAATAAATAAAGTCACACTACAATGCATTCAACCACACGAAATCTTGCCATCCATCGTATGCTGAAGGCCTCAGAAGTCACAACCGGGATTTTACACCAGTGTGCATGTGCGCAGTTCAACTTTAGAAGCTAACTTTATCATAGGCGTGGTGGGTAAGCAGCACTGCCAGAACTGTTACAGAATGAAGGGTTGCATCAGACCCGGCTTAGGCTCGTGTTGTTGCTGACTGAACACGAGTGTTCGTCAAACGCTGAGGCAGCACTACCCTTTTGCTCTCTATGAAGTGCTGCACCTAGGCACATGTTTAAGAACGGTAACAATTAAAGTGACAACACTATAAGCGCACGAGAGTTCCATTGTGATATGGGGGGAAAAAAGGGAGGGAAGGGTGCACACTCGTCGACAGCTTACGTTTTGAGATATATTCGGTCGCGCTTCACTGATTGCATTATCATTACAGATTTATTAATAGGTGATCAAGGAAGATCGTCACTGTGGTCGCTCTCGTATCCCGACGGTGACGTCCTTGGCGCTGAGAATTCCAAATCCCTTGGAGAACTCCAGGGGTACCTGCACGGATAAAGATTATGTTCAGTATTCGGGGGAAACCGGAAAGATGTGTTGCAGTGCGCGCAACATGAGTGCGTACGTACTTTTGTTTTCTCGGTGCGGACAAACTCAACACTGTGAACGGAATGCAGGAGGCAGAGCTTGACTGCCTGCAGAGCGAATCTCATTCCAATGCAATTTCGGGGTCCCGCCCCAAATGGAAGGTAGGTGTAAGGACGAATGGAAGTCACGTTCTCGGCGCTGAATCTGTCGTTCATGACAGAAAAAAAGTGCATGTTTATCTTATATATTGACAGATTAGTCTGGCATAAACCAAATACATACTGCCAATGGTAACATGTAGGTTGTCTATACCACGTCGATACTTCCAGACGCAGCCGACGCTACGAATGATGGGACCAATTAAAGAAGGTGAAAATCACAAGTCACTAAGTCTTTTTTGTGCATGATTGGTTCAGCGAGGATAGAACACGTACGACGGCCCACCAACACCATGACGTTGCACTTTGTTTGAATGGTCCCATTAGCTCGTAGCGTCAGCCGTGTCTTGACTTAAGGTGAAACTAAGTATACGTCTATGAAGAAACTGAAAAGGAAAAAAGAGCTATGAAAGACAGTCACTTGAACAGAAGTCGGAGTGTGGTGCCTCACAGTGGATCGAGCGACCAAGATACATCACGCCGCTGCTATACGGCTATACTTGGTTTCGCCATAGGTTCGAGCGAATATGATGCAACCATCGCGACCATGTTGTATTGAACTACGCTTTGCCGTCATGCAAGTGTCACGCTGTTGCCGGCCGCGATCCTGGCGGTATCACAGCCGCGGTGGTGGATGTGCGATACGCCTGTTCCGCTGCGGGTCGCTCTCGAGCTGGACAGTCCACGGAAACTTTGGCAGCCAGGAGCTGGGACACCGCGACGACAGCGACACTGGCGTTTGCTCCTACTTTTTGCCGGAACTCCTACGACCAACCGCCAGGATCGCGACATGCGCGCAGCATGACACTCCAACTTTTGTGACGTCATTTGTTGCCACTTCGGGGCAATTTCCGATACATGGGCGGTACAGGGCGCTAAACACACCGGTGAAACACGCATTCCACGAACCGTAGCTGTGAGTGACTATTCGGAAAGCAAGTCGTCTGCTTCTTGCACAGGAGTTGGGGTGACGTGAAAACGACGCCGAGTTCTGACTGGCTTTGATTGGAAGGACAGTGGCTGGACCCCGATGCAAGGTGCCTTGAAGTCTACCCACGATTTTTAATGCGAAAGCATTAAGTGTCTCATGGAGCGATTTGGCGTTATCTGAGCTTGAAGCCACCGTTATCGCTGTCTCTAGCAACGATAAACAGCAACTAAATTCCCCTGAGCGAAACCGGATCTAATTCGCATTGGTTGCAAAGCGTCATGTGCTCCATGGCAACGTCGTCATCGTTGCTAAGGAGCCAGCCGAACTGCTTGCTCGAGGCGCAGCGCAAATAGTGAAAGCACGTCGAAACAAAGTAAATGAGTGACTGAAAAGAAAATTTCGGACATTTGGGTCTGGGTGGGAATCGAGCCCGGGCCTCCGCGGCGCGAGACAAGCACGCTTCCCCGACGCCATGGCGGCTCCACGGCTCCAGCTGACTAAAGCTGTGCCTAGTGCATGCGTCACGCTTTCGCGTTCCCATACGTAAGCAGTCTCAAACGGCTAGGGTTAAATGTCTAGGGTCGCAAATGCCTCTGACGAATTTTTTTTTTTTTTTTCAATCAACCAATAAGGGCACGGCGTTCTCACATCACCGCAACCCCTGTGCAAGAAGACGAACTAGCGTTCCGCATAGTTATTACGGCAGACTCGCGCCTTAACATCCGTCGCGACGTGAACGTCATCCGGAAGAAGAGTTTCTTCATACCGAGTGACTCTATTCAATATCTTAGTGTTAAATCACTTAAGGAAATCTAGCGTTGCCCTTGTGACGAGTTCCCCCCCCCCCCCCCCCACTATATCAGTACGTCGATCAGTCGATCATAGGATCACTTATTGAAAGGGCTCCAAATAGAGCTTAAAGTATAAACCCAACCATCTCAAAGCGTTCGCATGAACAAGGAATGTCTAAAATCTTGAACTTGACAAAACTCTCTTCTCTGAATTGAGTTTATGCTGAACAATGAATTCGACTGACGCGTTTTAGAAAAGTCCGACGTATGGTGATAATGCTTTCACGCGTACGGCACATTATGAAAAGCGATAATGATAAATCGTAAAACACTTAAATTTTGGAGGACAAGCTATTTCTTATATTTGAAATTCGCTCCGGATCAAACAATAAAAATAATTTTCGCTCCCGCAAGCAAGGAGAAATAGGTATAGGCAAAACCAAATCTGAAATAAAATAATTCAGATCTGATGGAGCAACCCTGTTACATTTGGCTATATTTCAGTCTGTATTTACGAAAAGCAAGCGCATCTTGCACATTCAATGTAGTGCTAGCGGTAACATTGAGGCAATTTATATTTACCCCTTATCTTTAAAGCGTAGCATGTGCGATACGCTGCTATTCTCACCTTTCTGGCACAAATGCGTGGGGATCAGGGAAGTACTCTGGGTCGTAATGCATGGCAAAAACAGGAACCGCAATCACACATCCTTTCGGAATTTTGATTTTTGTGTCACCGAGAACATAGTCTTCGATGGCAGAACGCTCGAGTCTATTTTAAAAAAAAAAAAGATGAAATAAAACAAATAAGCGTCAGTTCTCATATCGAGCTCAAATGCAACCAAACAATTTGGTGCAGCAAATGCGATAACATACCTTGCCGCAGGAGGGAACATTCGTAGGGCTTCGGATACAACTCCGTGAAGATATGGAAGCTTTGAGATCACATCCAAAGGAGGCTCTTTTCCCTGCACAAATCACCCCAAATTAATCACGGGTTATTTAGTAATCAAGCCTGTACAGTGTGTGTATTTTATGAAAACTTAGAATCTCATTGAAATTCCTTAAAACGAATGCACAGTTTGTTTTACTTTTGAAGCTTGGCAGACTCAAAATAATAGTCTGCGTAACGCATCATTGCGGAGAGGAATAAGCGAAGGTGTGGATGTGACCAAGACAGTGGTAAAAGCAACAATATGAATCGGGACGCTTTGAGCGCACGTCTATCTCGATATACATACATACCCCCGCAGCTGATGAATGTTCTAATAATTATTGTAAATTTGTTTGTGAGCACAAAAAAATAAAGAATTATTATTATTATTATTATTATTATAATCCCTTTATAATCCCTTTATAATAACTCTTCTCTTAATCTCGATATATTTCTTGACAACTTCTCCGATTTTGTTAAATCTGTGCGGAAGCTCTTTTGTGACTTTCGATGAACTTCCTGAATCAACTGCCGGGTTTCCATATGCATTTCTATGACTTGTTGGTTTCTTGTTTCTATTTGTACGGAGCTGTATGTGTAGTGTTCAGACGTTCGCGTCTGTTTGCGTCCAAGTGAAGCATCCATATGTATTGGAACATTTTTTTTCGTGTCTTCATTTCTCTGTGCAATTTTTGTGCACTTTTTTGTTTTGTTTTTCTGTACAATTTTGTGTACACAGTTCTCGCGTCTTCTTTTTTGTAGAATTTTATGTAAAACTGCCTTCCGTGTATTTTTTTTTTCTTTTTCCTTTTTTGTGTGTGTGTGTTTTTGTTCTTTCTTACGTGCGCCAGCACCAAAACCGCAAGGTTGTTCCTGGGCACAAATAAAAACTATTCTTGATTCTTGATTATTATTATTATTATTATTATTATTATTATTATTATTATTATTATTATTATTATTATTATTATTATTATTATTATTATTACAGAAGACAGAAGTTTCTCCGATGTTCTGAATGCAATCTTCGTGCGCACACAAAGTGTGTGTGCTGGCCGGACAACGTGGAGACATTCCTTCAGTCTGGGGTAAGCTCCTTTCTCTGTGAGAGCTGTGCGATTGTCGGCGGTGCTGCGAGGCCTAACAGCGATGGCGTCGTCGGCAATCACGACAGCAGCGCTGCGGACTCTTCCCGTACCCCTGCGGCCCTCTCTCCGGCTCGACAACTTCCCGCGGGGCCACCCGCCTCCTCTCCTCCCGTTGACCTTGGCGCCGGCGTCGAGTCCCTTCGGAGCCTGCTCCTCGATGCTATGGAGGGAATTTCGTTCCTGACTGACGAGGTCGCCGCTCTCAGGGACGAAAACGCACGCCTCCGACACGAGCAAAAGCGCGACGCCGAGCTACAGGCGGGTGCCATGGCCTTACTACGGACTGAGGTCCGGGGTCTGCGTGACGCACTCGGCCAGCGACGAAAGCCGGACGCGCCCGATCGCCGGCGGCAGCCCGTGGATGGGGCTGCGGGGGGGGGGGGGGGTCTTTGGGAAAAGACTCTTATGCTGCCGCTCTACACAGCTCTCTCCCCCAAGCTTCTCCTACGAAAATTGTGGCGGCAGCCCTCCCTTCGGATGGCCAGAATAATGCTCCGCCGAAAGACGACATCCCTCCCAGTGGCATCAACTCTGCACGACCAAAAGCTAGGACCCCGGCGCTTTTCGGGGCGTCGGAAACCTGCAAGTTGATCGTTGCGCCTCCATCAACTCGACGAAGAGCCCTGTTCGTCACCAAGCTGAACCCGGACACCAGCTGCGTAGACATCAGTTCTCACCTCTCTTCCATCGGAGTTGAGGAAGTGGAGTGCCGGAAACTGAAGACGCGCTACGACTCCTACGCCTCCTTCCATGTGTCTGTGGCTGCAAAAGACTTCGAAAGGCTTTCCGATCCTACCGTGTGGCCCAAATCATGCCTCTTTAAGGCTTTTCGAGGCGCCCTTCGCGAAGACCTGCTCCATGCATCCGAGGCAGCCGCCTCCCCTTTGAACGTTGGATAGACCAAGGATGAGTCACATTGATTTATTTTACCAAAACGTTCGCGGCCTGCGTACAAAAGCCGATTGCTTTTTCTCTAATGTTACCTTATCCAATTGCTCAATATTCTGTTTAACTGAAACATGGTTGTGTTCTAGCATCGGCTCCTCCGATTACTTCCCTCCTTGTTTTGAGGTGCACCGTCGCGATCGTGATTCTACCCCGCGGAGCAGAACGGGAGGTGGAGTGTTGGTCGCAGTCGACAGGCGCTACCGCTCTAGGAGACGCGAAGACTTAGAGAAATTTCCCGAGAGCGTATGGGTCGAGATTGAGGCTGCAAAGGGAGTACGCGTTTTAATCGGTTTATTTTACCTCTCTCCCCAGACACCGCCAGATGAATTTCATAGTTGTCTTGTTGGCATAGAGAATACAGTGAATGACTTACAGGGATGCGAAGTCTTAATCTTGGGGGATTTTAATGCTCCTGGAGTCAACTGGCCGCAGCTTGATGTTTTTACGGACAACTTTTACTGCAGGCAGAAAGGCACCCAGCTCTTAAACTTTTCTTCTTTCTTAAATCTCAAACAACACAATAATGTTTTGAATCACCAATTTAATGCTCTAGATTTATGCTTCTCAAATATGGACAGTGTGCGTGTAGCACGGGGTGAACTGCCATTAGTTCCTCAGGATACATATCATCCTGCACTTGATATAGTACTTTCTTTCGAGAATTCTTCTGTTCGTGCTCATTCTAGTGATTCCCCGCCGCACACCTCATATAATCTGTCGGCAGGGGACTATGTCGGGATGCATCATTACCTCACGAGTTTTGATTGGGCATTGATCTTGGAGTCGCCTGATGTGAATGACCAGGTCATGCTCTTCACGCAAACTGTTCGGAAGGCCATGGATACTTTTATTCCGTTAAGGACAGTTACTAAATCTCGCTTTCCTAACTGGTTTTCCAGTGAGCTAAAAACACTACTGAAAAGAAAGGACTTCTTTCACAGGAAGTTTAAGAAAAGTGGCCTTTTAAAGTGGGAGGTGGAATTCAAGAACTGCAGAAAGCAATGTAAGACGGTCCTGGATCGCGACCGCCAGGCTCATCGTTGCTCAGTGGAATCAGATCTTGTCAATAATCCGAAGAAATTCTGGAAGTACATTAATTCACGTTCTGGGAGGCATATCGAGTCGAAGATTGTCCTGGATAATCACGAGAGCGATTTGAAGTCCGTGCCTGAGTTATTTGCTGAGCATTTTAGGTCCGTCTACAGGGATAGTACGCAGCGTTCTGCACCTGTGCTGCCTCACTTAGATGGGTTTGGTGACTTGTTAAGTTGCATTAATGTTGATGAAGAGTCCGTACGATCCTGTATTAAGAAAATGAGAGCAACATTATCAGTAGGGCCCGACGGCATTCCCTCTGCGATTCTCAAAACGTATCACGACATATTCACGCCGGTACTGTGCTCTATATTTAACAACTCGTTAAGGTTGGGAACCTTTCCTGAAACGTGGAAAGTCGCTGCTGTTGTTCCAGTCTTAAAGTCGGGAAAAAAAGGTGATATTTGTAACTATAGACCTATTTCTCTTCTCTCTCCATTTTCTAAGCTCTTTGAAATGGTAGTTCATCAATTCCTGTCTTTCAAATTTCGAAACTTAGCAATTCCCAATCAGCATGGTTTTATGAGCGGCAGATCAACAACTACCAATCTCGTTAGCTTTATGTCTGCTGCATCTCGTGTAATATGTAACAGAGGTCAGTTGGACGTTGTCTACTTTGACTTAAGTAAGGCTTTTGACGTAGTCAATCACATTATTCTTTTATCCAAACTTTCCTCCTATGGAGTATGTGGCTCAGTACATGACTGGTTAAAAAGCTACTTGTCAGAGAGAGAGGCATATGTCCGGGTTAACAACATGAACTCTTCGTTGTACAGGACTCGCTCTGGCGTTCCTCAGGGATCTGTTTTAGGACCCCTTCTGTTCACAATTTTCGTAAATGACGTCTCTTTTGCTGTTTTAAACTCTTCATTCCTGCAATATGCTGACGATATAAAAATTTATCGAGAAATAGTTACTGAACGTGATTGTGCTAAGCTCCAGGAAGATGCATGTTCTTTCTACCGATGGTGCTCTGAAAATGACCTTCTCTTGAACCCGTCCAAAACCAAGGTCATGACGCTCTCTCGGAAAACTCACAATATCTCTTTTGCATATAATATTCAAGGAGAGACTTTGTCTCGAGTAAGTGTAATGAAAGATCTCGGAGTCATGGTTGATTCTGGGTTGCGTTTCTCTGATCACGTTGGTAGGCTGGTTAACTCGTCTTTGCGAATGTTGGGTGTTGCCTCTCGCTTAACCAGGGAGTTCAAGAACCCGACGGCTTTTATCACGTTATACTGCTCGCTATCCAGGTCACAGTTAGAATATGCCTCAGTTGTTTGGAATGGAATTTCTAAAAGTCACTCCTTGGAGATCGAGCGTGTGCAAAAAAAGTTTGTTTCTATCTTTAAACATCGCTACATAAAGGAGGATGTTCACTGTTTAACATATGAGTCTGCGTTAGAGCGTGTTGGTTTGCTTAGCTTGCACCGGCGTCGGGAGAACGCGGACTTACTATTTTTGTTTAAAACGCTGCATGGACTCATCAATTCTCCGAGCCTGTTATCTGAACTGTGCCTTAGGGTCCCACGTGTGCCTACTCGTCTTCTGTCATCTTTTTATGTTTCTAGAATGTTTAGTCCGGTAAACCCAATTGTGAGAATGGCTCAGCGTTTGAATCATTACTCTGAAAAACTTGATATTTTCAACCCTTGCTACAGGACGTTTGCCCTTTCTATTAAAAACTTGCCCGTGCAGGATGAGCATTGCTGAATTGCTTTGTTATGTCTGAATGTCGTCATCTCCATGTCGTGTTTTCTGGTGGTGCAGTTGTTGTCCTTCGGTCTTGTGTTCCGTCTCTACTGTTACTGCCTCGTTTTTATTTCATTGTACTAATTTACTCGTGCACTGCCTAGTATTATGCTAAAAATGTATCTTATTTTCTGCGGAGATGTGTATAGTGTGTTTTTTTTTTTTTTATCCACCAGTGTACCAGCACCAAGACCTCAGGGTTGTTCCTGGGCACTGTATAATAAAGATTGATTGATTGATTGATTGATTGATTGATTGATTATTATTATTATTCATCGGAGTTGAGGAAGTGGAGTGCCGGAAACTGAAGACGCGCTACGACTCCTACGCCTCCTTCCATGTGTCTGTGGCTGCAAAAGACTTCGAAAAGCTTTCCGATCCTACCGTGTGGCCCAAATCATGCCTCTTTAAGGCTTTTCGAGGCGCCCTTCGCGAAGACCTGCTCCATGCATCCGAGGCAGCCGCCTCCCCTTTGAACGTTGGATAGACCAAGGATGAGTCACATTGATTTATTTTACCAAAACGTTCGCGGCCTGCGTACAAAAGCCGATTGCTTTTTCTCTAATGTTACCTTATCCAATTGCTCTATATTCTGTTTAACTGAAACATGGTTGTGTTCTAGCATCGGCTCCTCCGATTACTTCCCTCCTTGTTTTGAGGTGCACCGTCGCGATCGTGATTCTACCCCGCGGAGCAGAACGGGAGGTGGAGTGTTGGTCGCAGTCGACAGGCGCTACCGCTCTAGGAGACGCGAAGACTTAGAGAAATTTCCCGAGAGCGTATGGGTCGAGATTGAGGCTGCAAAGGGAGTACGCGTTTTAATCGGTTTATTTTACCTCCCTCCCCAGACACCGCCGGATGAATTTCATAGTTGTCTTGTTGGCATAGAGAATACAGTGAATGACTTACAGGGATGCGAAGTCTTAATCTTGGGGGATTTTAATGCTCCTGGAGTCAACTGGCCGCAGCTTGATGTTTTTACGGACAACTTTTACTGCAGGCAGAAAGGCACCCAGCTCTTAAACTTTTCTTCTTTCTTAAATCTCAAACAACACAATAATGTTTTGAATCACCAATTTAATGCTCTAGATTTATGCTTCTCAAATATGGACAGTGTGCGTGTAGCACGGGGTGAACTGCCATTAGTTCCTCAGGATACATATCATCCTGCACTTGATATAGTACTTTCTTTCGAGAATTCTTCTGTTCGTGCTCATTCTAGTGATTCCCCGCCGCACACCTCATATAATCTGTCGGCCGGGGACTATGTCGGGATGCATCATTACCTCACGAGTTTTGATTGGGCATTGATCTTGGAGTCGCCTGATGTGAATGACCAGGTCATGCTCTTCACGCAAACTGTTCGGAAGGCCATGGATACTTTTATTCCGTTAAGGACAGTTACTAAATCTCGCTTTCCTAACTGGTTTTCCAGTGGGCTAAAAACACTACTGAAAAGAAAGGACTTCTTTCACAGGAAGTTTAAGAAAAGTGGCCTTTTAAAGTGGGAGGTGGAATTCAAGAACTGCAGAAAGCAATGTAAGACGGTCCTGGATCGCGACCGCCAGGCTCATCGTTGCTCAGTGGAATCAGATCTTGTCAATAATCCGAAGAAATTCTGGAAGTACATTAATTCACGTTCTGGGAGGCATATCGAGTCGAAGATTGTCCTGGATAATCACGAGAGCGATTTGAAGTCCGTGCCTGAGTTATTTGCTGAGCATTTTAGGTCCGTCTACAGGGATAGTACGCAGCGTTCTGCACCTGTGCTGCCTCACTTAGATGGGTTTGGTGACTTGTTAAGTTGCATTAATGTTGATGAAGAGTCCGCACGATCCTGTATTAAGAAAATGAGAGCAACACTGTCAGTAGGGCCCGACGGCATTCCCTCTGCGATTCTCAAAACGTATCACGACATATTCACGCCGGTACTGTGCTCTATATTTAACAACTCGTTAAGGTTGGGAACCTTTCCTGAAACGTGGAAAGTCGCTGCTGTTGTTCCAGTCTTAAAGTCGGGGAAAAAAGGTGATATTTGTAACTATAGACCTATTTCTCTTCTCTCTCCATTTTCTAAGCTCTTTGAAATGGTAGTTCATCAATTCCTGTCTTTCAAATTTCGAAACTTAGCAATTCCCAATCAGCATGGTTTTATGAGCGGCAGATCAACAACTACCAATCTCGTTAGCTTTATGTCTGCTGCATCTCGTGTAATATGTAACAGAGGTCAGTTAGACGTTGTCTACTTTGACTTAAGTAAGGCTTTTGACGTAGTCAATCACATTATTCTTTTATCCAAACTTTCCTCCTATGGAGTATGTGGCTCAGTACATGACTGGTTAAAAAGCTACTTGTCAGAGAGAGAGGCATATGTCCGGGTTAACAACATGAACTCTTCGTTGTACAGGACTCGCTCCGGCGTTCCTCAGGGATCTGTTTTAGGACCCCTTCTGTTCACAATTTTCGTAAATGACGTCTCTTTTGCTGTTTTAAATTCTTCATTCCTGCAATATGCTGATGATATAAAAATTTATCGAGAAATAGCTACTGAACGTGATTGTGCTAAGCTCCAGGAAGATGCATGTTCTTTCTACCGATGGTGCTCTGAAAATGACCTTCTCTTGAACCCGTCCAAAACCAAGGTCATGACGCTCTCTCGGAAAACTCACAATATCTCTTTTGCATATAATATTCAAGGAGAGACTTTGTCTCGAGTAAGTGTAATGAAAGATCTCGGAGTCATTGTTGATTCTGGGTTGCGTTTCTCTGATCACGTTGGTAGGCTGGTTAACTCGTCTTTGCGAATGTTGGGTGTTGCCTCTCGCTTAACCAGGGAGTTCAAAAACCCGACGGCTTTTATCACGTTATACTGCTCGCTATCCAGGTCACAGTTAGAATATTCCTCAGTTGTTTGGAATGGAATTTCTAAAAGTCACTCCTTGGAGATCGAGCGTGTGCAAAAAAAGTTTGTTTCTATCTTTAAACATCGCTACATAAAGGAGGATGTTCACTGTTTAACATATGAGTCTGCGTTAGAGAGTGTTGGTTTGCTTAGCTTGCACCGGCGTCGGGAGAACGCGGACTTACTATTTTTGTTTAAAACGCTGCATGGACTCATCAATTCTCCGAGCCTGTTATCTGAACTGTGCCTTAGGGTCCCACGTGTGCCTACTCGTCTTCTGTCATCTTTTTATGTTTCTAGAATGTTTAGTCCGGTAAACCCAATTGTGAGAATGGCTCAGCGTTTGAATCATTACTCTGAAAAACTTGATATTTTCAACCCTTGCTACAGGACGTTTGTCCTTTCTATTAAAAACTTGCCCGTGCAGGATGAGCATTGCTGAATTACTTTGTTATGTCTGAATGTCGTCATCTCCATGTCGTGTTTTCTGGTGGTGCAGTTGTTGTCCTTCGGTCTTGTGTTCCGTCTCTACTGTTACTGCCTCGTTTTTATTTCATTGTACTAATTACTCGTGCACTGCCTAGTATTATGCTAAAAATGTATCTTATTTTCTGCGGAGATGTGTATAGTGTGTTTTTTTGTTTTTTGTTTTTTTTTTATTCACCAGTGTACCAGCACCAAGACCTCAGGGTTGTTCCTGGGCGCTGTATAATAAAGATTGATTGATTGATTGATTGATTGATTGATTGATTGATTGATTATTTGTACGGAGCTGTATGTGTAGTGTTCAGACGTTCGCGTCTGTTTGCGTCCAAGTGGAGCATCCATATGTATTGGAACATTTTTTTTCGTGTCTTCATTTCTCTGTGCAATTTTTGTGCACTTTTTTGTTTTGTTTTTCTGTACAATTTTGTGTACACAGTTCTCGCGTCTTCTTTTTTGTAGAATTTTATGTAAAACTGCCTTCCGTGTATTTTTTTTTTCTTTTTCCTTTTTTTGTGTGTGTGTGTTTTTGTTCTTTTTTACGTGCGCCAGCACCAAAACCGCAAGGTTGTTCCTGGGCACAAATAAAAACTATTCTTGATTCTTGATTCTTGATTATTATTAAAACGTTCTTAGAGTATTACCATCGGTGTGAGATTCTAATAAGCGCTGTTTTTGGTGCTTCCAGAGGAGGCTACACTTGCTGCCTTTGAAACCTACGTTTGAAACTCTGCCTCATATGACAGTATTACGAAAAGGCTTGTATAATCATGTATATATTTCTAACATTGATCGGGTGCCAATAACATTACTGTTATACTTCCGTAACCTATCAGTAAGCCTATTAGTTGTTGCCTCTGGCTCAACGTTTTCCCACACATTCACCTGATAAAATGCAATACGCTTAAGATGATAGGGGAATTTCAGCAATATTAACATTAAACCCTAGAAGAAAAATACATTTCCAATCAATGTGTGAATTTTACACTTAAATAAGAAGTTGCAAATACTCGTCAAAGGAAAAGCATTTGTTACTGACATTTCTTAAGATAATTTTGGTTAATAAGTCTTACATGTGCAGCAAAACACGCATCCGCTTCTTCTCTAAGTTTAGCTTGAATTTCAGGATTCAGGGCAAGCATGTACATGGCATGCGCAATGACAGAAGATGTTGTCTCCTGGCCAGCGAGGAAAAACAAAACGCACTGCGCCATTGCTTCATCTTCCGTTAGAGCTGAAACCAAGAGACGTATTTCAAATCTGTTAGCTATTTCACAAATAACAATAAACACAAAACCAAAGCAATGAACATATTATATTTCTGCGATCCCTAATAAGCAGGATAATAACTTAAACGTGCCTTTCGCTGAGAAGGAACTGTCTTGTTTGACCTCTGAATCGAGATTGAAAAGCTGGGTATTGGTTTCCTGAACATTCTCTGCAGCTGCCGTCGCAATTCCATTTTGTTGTGCGTCCATCATGAGCTGCAAAAAGTCCTCTTGTCGCTAGAAAATTGAAAAAATTATTTTTGTCAATCCGGGCCACTCTTTAGATTTTTACTTGTTTTTTTTTTTTGTTTTTTTTGAAGGGGGGCATTGCAAATGAAACGTACATTACTCTCCTGTTGCCGGTTCTTGATGATGTTCTGACATACGTTCTTGAAGTAAACGAATGTATCCGAGTTGATCGGTTTGATCTTGAGCCAATTGAATAAAGCCGGAAACAAAACTGCAACAACAAGTTTAATTAGATTATGTCAATGCGTTATATCTCGAGTCTCAATAAACGATATGAACCTATATTTAAAACGACATCGATATGAAACTTACCCAAAAGTATCATCGGCAATGTTATAACACCGGAAAAAGCTTTCCTGGCTCTTGTAACAAATTCATTTGTCACGTCCGTGTGAGAATCCAACCTTGTTCCGAATGCACACCTCGCAATCACATCCAGCGAGTAATGGCCATAAAACCTGAGACATAAAAAAGTATGAAGAGTTGTTGCATTAGGACTTGAACAATTTCTCCAACCATTAGTTCGCTCCAATTTAAACACATAGGAAGGACAGTAGTAACCAACGTTCATAAACCCTCGAGCGTGTAAGTTAACGCATGCAGCTTGTTCGAAAAATATAAACTAGGCTCCGAGACAGAAACGTATACGCAAGTTTGGAGTAGACTTGAATATATCTGTAGCTACCACGTCTTTATGTGATTCTCCCTCTCTACATGGGTTGTTAAATGATTTTGTCTCTGTACCACAAAAACAGGAATTAGCATTGAAGACAATTCAAGACTAAGACTTACTGTTTGATATCGACGTCTTCATTGTTTTTTGCTGCTTTCTTGAGATGCTCAGCTGTCACCTTGGCACAGTCTTCAATCAGAGCGTTCATCTACGATCGAATAACATATTGTCATCGATGACGAGTGAAGGGTGGATGGCCTAAAAAATATATTATGTGCGGTTTTAATATATTTTTGATTCTAGGCTAGAGCACACTACCAGTAATACATCGGAACGTTTTCAAAGACAAAACAAACAGTCAAATCAAAAACAGGGTTAATAGAGATTGAAAATGGATCTCCCACGTGGAAGTCCCATGCGCTGCCAACTCGGCCCACGAACGCATTAAGATAATATTATAATAAAAACCAAATTCACGTTTAGATATAGATATCAGATAATCGGCAGTCAGTGAGAAACTTTCTGTTTCTGGTGATAGTAGCAACTATTGCTAGTTAATCCAGAGATGTGACTTTGATCACCTTGATCCACAAACTCTATGCGAAGCCCTGTAGTGGTAAAACTATTTATTTGATTTAGATGCACATGCGCAAGTTTGACATGAGCGAGTGGTCTTGGTGCGGGCGCTTCGGTTCTTTGTTCTGAAAGCGAACCTGATACTCTGTTTACATAGATACCCGCGCCCTCCGGCGGCGTACCGAGGCCAACACTGGTTGCCAGCCACCGGAGGGGAAACGGAAACTGAACTTGTGCGATGTCCGCAACTCAAGCATTTTAGTGATGCTTGTTGATACTGAGTATAATACACCGAATTGTTGGCTGCGCTTTCATGATCATTTGACTAAATAACTTAAATACGCATAATGAAGCAAACATACTCACCTTCCGAAGCTTTCCAGTCGAAAACGCTGGGCTAGCAGATGGGCGAATTTTTCTCCATTTCTCCACTGGGGCAATGTTCATCATGTTGTCCAACAGTGGATCGAATAGCTTAATTGGCTGCGTCGATCGGAAGGACCAACAAAATATTAAAATATTTCACAACTCACAAAGTGCTCGCACAAAACTGCTGAAGGACAAAAGATAGTCATTTTATGTAAACAAATGTGGTTTTATATGCCTACTCATCTTGTTAATTACAAAAGCGCAAAGGACAAGGACAGGACAAAGAATGAACAGGACAAGCGCTTGTCCTGTTCATTCTTTGTCCTGTCCTTGTCCTTTGCGCTTTTCTAATTAAGATGTTTAACTAACTAGCCCAACAGTTAATTTTAATTTTAATTTGTGTCTGGAGGATGGCGTCAGACATTTAAACCAAAGCATAAAGAGTTATTGCTAAAATATGCGTATAAATAACTTATCTCGGTTAAACATTTAGCTGTGTCAGTAAATATTTAACCCTACTACGAAGTGTACTGAAAATGATTCTTCGTCTCTAACCATTAGTTATTTTGAATCACATTACAAAGAAACCGACAGCCTCTTATCATCGAAACAGCTAGCTAAAAAAAAAATATTACACCGCCAAAAACAGGACAAAAAAGAATGACGGTTTTGACGATGAACTTAATTTAAAGTGTGTCTAAATCTCCCTGCGCTTCATACCTCTTCGTTTTGGTTTTTAGTTGTCTAAATTAGCTATCGCCACTGACATAAACTATTTTTTTAGTAAACCCTACAACATAGGGCATGATGAGAACAAACGCATATAAGAATGAGAAGCATGATTCAGCTGAGAGAATAAATAGTTGACTTTAATTACGCAGTGGCTATTGAATCGGCTTTCAGTTTGAACAATTTGATGTTGTTGACAATGTAGAATAAAGTGCTATACATACTTTCCTATTCGGCAGGGCTTGAAAATCTTTGACAAGAATCAACTTGACCAAATCTGGTTCAGCAACTAACAGAGATGGCTTCCCGCCTTCGAATATTCTGAAAGGAATGTGCAAGGAATGATCTACACGAATACATGAACTGGGTGGTTCTATATCAACTCAGGCGCGGATTTTGGGTCGAATTTTTAAATTTTGACGAAAAAAATGTATATTTTGGGGAAAACCATTTTGTGACAGGGAGTTCAAACCGCAAGTTCGGCCGATTTTTCGTTGTTGAGTTTTGGACATTTTAAGCAGCCGAGGCGTAAACTGACTTTTCTCTCGCGTGCCGGAGGTGTCATTTTTCACTCCTTTCAACTTTTTCCCTTTTTTCGGTTGTGCAATTTAATTTTTTTTCGACCACTCTCAGAATAGCGATTATTTATGTTCAAAAATTTATGTTGCGATTATTTATCTTCACTTTTGTTTTAAATATTGTCAAAGTGAGCCCTTTGACAATATTTGTCAAAGTTCGACCAACTCTTCTGTGTGACCTATTTGAGATTACGCAACCTATTTAGTATTTTCAGAAATCTGAGAGTATACCCTTTCTATTGATATCAAATTTAATGTTGTGTCTAAAAGAGAAAGCCCACTGTATTCTCGTAAAGCAAGGACAATTTCAAAATATTTGCAAATTGGAGGTCGATTTTCTAGAGAAAAAAAAAACACTTTTTATTTGGCAGATTTTTTTCTCTAGCTACCTATTACAGTGCTTTATAAGGTGATATAAATATAAAATGTAATATTTTGTTTGAATGGCAGCTATAAAAGCTTGAAATCTGATTTTGTTTGACTGTTTGTCAGTAAATCAACTTACTCGCAAAAATACGCTAATTCAAAATTGGAGCCTTTTATTTTTTTAAATAAATACCTGTGAACGCACTTATTCTCTGATAAATAATTTTAACGAAATTATTTATATGATATATGTTTGAGAGAATTTGCCAATATTACGTTTTTGGACGATATTTCTCAAAGTTTACCAGCTCTTCCTTTCGACCTATATGAGGTGTCTTAACATATTTAGTATTTTCAGAAAGCTTAGAGTATACTCTAATGATAACAAATTTGATTTTGTGTGTGAAAGACCAAGGGCAGTATTATCTCGTAAAGCAAGGACTATTTAAAAAAAATTTCGAATTGGAGGTCGATTTTCTGAAAAGTCTACCTTTTAGTTGGCTAATTGTTTAGCTACTTAGTGCAGTACTTTATAAAGTTAAATAAATATAAAATGTAATATTTTGTTTGTATGGCGGCTTTAAAAGCTCACATTTTGGTTTTTGATTATTTGTCACCCAGTAATACAAGTTACTCACAAAAATACACTGACTGGTAAGTAACTTGTCTGAAATGTTTAGTAGCCATACCTGTAAACTCCTTTAATAAAAGAAGGCGCAAACGTCGAGTCATGCTAATAAAGCGTCTAGGTCATATCTTTAATGTTTGTTTTTTTTAATTGTCAAACCGCCTCTCTGCAACAATATTTGACTAAGTTCAGCAAGCTGTGATGTGTGACCTAATCAATATATTTTTATGATCTTTACATCACCGTAAGGCTCCAATTAAGCTCTTTCTACTGAGTATAATTTGAATATTTTGCGCTAAACATATAATGCGAAACACTTGCCTGGAAAACAAATATTTAAAAAACAACTTGCAAGTTGAAGTCTCTTTTGTAAAAAAAACACCTTTTATTCCTTTCATTTGTATTCGCATTTAGGTAATATAGTAATCTTTCAGGAACCACCGACAGAAATTGTAATATATAATTGTTTGTATGGCTGCTATTAGGACTCAAATCTCGTGCTATGAGAGTTTTGAACGGGACTTCGAATAAACGCTCAGCTGAGCAGAATTTCGACGTATGTAAGCTTTTCTATTCAATATTAGTATTTACCTTAATATCTGTTCGTAAAAAAAGTTAAGCAACAATGTTTATCCTAACAATATGCATCTACTAGGCACTGGGGTGATTTCCAAGGTGTGTGAGCTTCGACCTATGTATTGACGGAGCAGATACGTAATATCTAGTCTCCCGGACAAACTTAAGTCAAGAGGGAAAAGTCTAAAAAACCCAGCATGAATCACTGAAAATATAAATGAAACCTTAACACATTTCATTTCTTACACGCTACGAAACGCTCGTTATTTTACGAAAGAGTCACAAAATGTGCCGTACTTCCTAGGCGTCAGATACTAGATCGTACATATGTATGTGCACTAAATATCTGTCTGACATAAGAAAATCTGACCATTACATATCAAGTTCGGTATTTCAAACTCAAAGCCGAAAGCGAAAGGCCCCAGAGGACTTCTCTAAAGATCTGCATTGCCCCGAATCGGGAGGAAGTAAGCGCTGTGCCCGCACTTGTTGATAAGAACTTCTAAACTTTTTTTTAAGTGCGCTGCTCCGAATTTAATTAATGTTTAAGGTTGAATATTGAGATAACTGCTAACGATAACTATAAAACCTTACATAGGCCAACACTCTGCTCAGCAGAGCGCCTGTGCGAAGTCCCGTTCTAAGCGCTCACAGCACGAGATTCGAATCTTAATAGCGGCCATACAAACAATATATTACAATTTCTGTTGGTAGTTCCTGTTACACTACTATATTACCTATATGTGAATAAAAAATAAAAGAAATAAAAGGTGAGTTTGTCATAAAAAATTGACTCCAAACTTGCTAGTTTTAATATTCGTTTTGCAGGCAAATGTGAGCATTATATACTTAGCGCAAAATATTCAAATTATACTCAAAAGAAAGGGCTTACTTAGAGCTTTACGGTGATCTAAAGATCATAAAATTAAGTTGATTAGGTCACACAGCACAGTTTGCTGAACTTCATCAAACATCGTCGCAGAGAGGCGGTTTGACAATTAAAACAAAAAAATAATTAAGGATATTATGACCTAGACGCTTAATTAGCATAAAAAAAGCATATCTCAAGAGGGTTCCCAAAAAGTTATATTGTTGTAGCGTAAAAAGTAGAGAAAAGGGATGGAGTGAAATATGGCACCCCCGATAAGCTGGAAAAACGTTAGTTTCCACCTTGGCCGGTTCAACGGTCCATAACTTGAGAATAACAAATCCGACGAACTCGCCCTTTGCGTCTTTTTTATAATAGGAATTTCCCGAGAACATGTATCTTTTTCACAAAAATTAAAAAATTCGACCCAAAATTGGTGCTTGAGTTCAGATGATATCACCCATATATATATATATAGAAAGAGAGAGAGAGAGAGAGAGAGGGGGAGAGAGAGAGATATACAACGCAATTTCAGCCAAGGTTTAAAAATATTTTGGTGCATTGTGGAGGACAACACCAAACGAATAAGTTTGTTCATTGTTTGGAGCAACTCAGCCTATATTTCTTGTATTTTTCCAAATTAACTTATTAATTAAGATTAATTAACGAACTTTTGAAATATTCAATTTACAGCAAAAGTTCCAAATAATAAGTTGTAGAACGTCCTCAGAAACATCAATTCAGTGTTTTTTTATCAAGAAACCACTAACACGATTCGTTTTTCATGGATTCAAAAAAAGAAAATGCCCGAATTATGAAAAACAAAAACAAAAAAACAATAAAACGCGAATTTGTCAACACCGCTGTGGTGTCCTTGGGGACACGGCAGAGAAAAAGAACAGGGACAGCCCAGTCAACGTTCCAAATTAGACTCTTTTATTGACAAAGAAGAAAATGAAGTACAGATCATATGGTGGTGATGATGACTTGTACATATGTTGCTAACACAATGCAGCTATACAAATCAGAATACAACATTCACTTCCCCTAAAAAAAAAATTCTTTCAGTTACACCAAGCGAAACAAAGTATCAGTGTCTGATGCGTGCCCTTCATTGCTTCACATGTTATGTGACATAATCCCGTAACCAGCTTGGTGGTTTACGTGATCGTGTTAAGGGCTGCCGCGCGTTATTGTCCGGTTGCGGCATTTGCTGGGAAGCTGGGAGAGGCGCGGAGGTAGACTCCTTCTGTCCAGGCGGTGTCCTTTGCTCTGCCACAGCAAGTTCAGGCAGCTGCTCGTCTTGCACCGATGGCTGGTGGGATGGAACTGACTGCGGTTCCATCGGTGCCTTTGAATTTAACGGAAACCATCCTGGCCAACCTGGTTCTTCTTTTTTTCCGCTTGAGGGACGACAACTAATTTCGAAACATTCCACGCCCGTCTCTCTTCCAGCAGAAACGTGCCTGGTCCTTTTCTTTTTAGAATCTTCAACGGTGTCTTATACCGAAGGTCTCCTTCGTGCCGCCAGGCGGCTTGCGTACTCTGACGAAGTCGCCTTGCTTGAACTTGGCAACTTTTGCACCACGTTTTTCGTCAGTGTAGGTCTTGCTTTTGCTCTGCCGGTCCTCGACTCCCTTCCGAAGGGATTTTATTTCGGCTTCTGGTCGTTGAAAGAAGTCCTTGGATGGCAGTCCTATTATATCTAATCTTGTTCTTGGCTGCCGACCGTGCAGTAGAACGGCGAGGGAGATTCCGGTCGTGCCGTGTGAGGTACATCTGTAAACGCCCAGATAGTTGATAACAGCAGACTGCAGAGGGCGATTCTCGAGGATAGCAAGCTGGATGCAGCTTTTTAAGGCACTATATTGAAGCTCTCAATCAATCCATTTGCTTGCGTATAGCATACTGAAGACAGGCAGTGCCGGATTACCCTATCTTGAAGAAAATCCTCGTACTCTTTGGATTTAAATTGCGTCCCATTATCTGGTACAATCTCCTCCGGGTACCCTTCCCTACTGAACACCGAGCGGAGAAACTCGATGACCCTTTGCGAGGTCACATGGCTTGTAAAGCAGAGCTCAGGCCATTTCGAGTGATAATCTATCAGTGTTATTACAACTTTTTGTTTGGGGGTGCTCGAGCCAGTGGTCCGACAATATCCATGGCCAACTTCTGCCATGGCCGATCCGGTAAAGCAACCGGCTGCAGTGGAGTGGGCACAGGCTTTGCAGACTTGTCTGCTTCCTGGCAAATGTGGCAGCTTCTGACTTCTAACCCCACTTGGTGGTCCATGCGAGTCCACCAAAACCGGTCCCTGAGCCTTTGCTTTGTCCGCACAATACCAGGGTGCGCTTCGTGTGCATAGCGTACCATCAACGGCGTTTCTCCTTCAATGTTAATTCGAAGGTTACGAATCGTTTCTTGAAGGACTTCATCCAGCTTGCTATCCTTTTATCCATCTCGTAGTCGGTGTTTGCGACAGGTGCCGGCCAAACGGCGTTTTAGTACCGCGGGTCGTGCCGTGAACTTTTGCCTCGTTCTTCGCTCTCCCGATTGTTGGCCATGTTTGTGTATACAAATCAGAACACAACAGCCGCCCAGTCAATAGTGTTGTATTCAGCATACAGGCCTAGTTTATTCAAGCCACGGCTGAGAGCGCTGCAATACAAGGTGCACATGCGCAAAGTCACATGTTGTTTTCATAATTCGCAAACATTTTTCGAAGCCCATAAAACAAAGGTGTTAAGTCCTTTTGATAGAAACCACTGAATCGAACGTTTTTGGGGATGCTCTAATTGAAACCATATAATTAGTTTTACTATTTGAAAAGTTCATCAATGAAGTTTACTTATTTATCTGACTTATCGCAAAGATTATTCACCAACATAATGTCCCCCTGGTCATATAACTCACCTGCACATTTATTACAAGGCATTCGTGAAATACGCACTAATACGGTATTAGTGCGTATTTCACGAATTCCTTGTAATAAATCTGTTCGATTAAAATGGAACACCCGGTATATATATAAAGAAACCAATAAATGGGATCGTTTTAGTAAAGCTTACCCAAAAAGTTTTCCATATTTCTTGTATCTCTTCTCATCTGTTTCGTGCAATGGCTGTTGAAAAAAAATTGCATGTTTCAAAAGTTGATATTCTATTTATTTTTTCATTGCGTTTTCCTCGTGAAGTATATAAAACCTGAACTTGGAAGCGCATAGATGAAAACAGTATTGAAATCGCACAAATAGTTTTGTGTTTAAACATTGCAACAAGCGGCAGCGCAGACTGAGAAGGAAAACATAGATGAACAAAGCATTGCAGCAATATATAACTATTAAGTCACGTTGGTTACTTCTGTCAGCTTGGAAGGCGTTCAAATTTCCCTCCAGGCCTGAATACTCCAGGCTCTGAAGTACAATGCTCCAAAATATAGCCTTTTTAAGTGGGATCATTCGGGCGTCATTGAAAGCTGTAAATACTTTATTAAATAAGGCACTAATACTTCCCCTTCTCATTATCTTTATCAAACTTCCAATCGACGTAAATTGCAGTTTATTTCTTTCCATAACAATAAGAGCCATAGAGAAAAGCGCACAGTTGTTCACGCCTCCATGGCGCTTTGATATAATCACGCAAGATTACATGTATTACATCGTACAATTGACAATCTCTTCCATATCTTGATCTTGAAATGTAATCACTTGTCAAAACCCTGGGTGTTCTTTAAAAAGAAAGCCACACTGTTGACAAACAAAACAGAAAGTTCCAACGTAATGTTGGTCGCAAACGTGTTATAAAAAATGGTTTGCTCGTAAAACTTACATGAAACAAAATCCGACTTGCAGGTCCAAAAATCAGAGATAGGTTCTCATAAACAACGTTCTGATTCTTCCAATAATTCTTCTTTCTCGTGGCGTACCTGTCATGTGAGTTGGAAAACAAATGCCTAATCGACAACATGTTCGTACAGTCAACCCTCGTTAATATGGGCCTCGTTCATATGGATACCCCGCTATATGGGCACCATTTTCTGGGACAAACTTCGAAGATACATGCATTTTCCTCTGGCTACTACGGAAAAATCACATTATGGACGATTTTTTTTTTTGAGGGAATGGAGGTGTCCATACTAACAAAGACACCACTGTACCTGCATACCCACACTTACGTCCCCAGTCACGCTTTTTTTTTTTTTTTTTTTTTGCATTTCGCCATCAGCGGAGCAAGTTGCCTCTCTAAAATGTATCGAGACCAGACTAATAAAATATACATTTATGCAGGATAGCTAAGCTCGTTTTCTGCAGGACAACCAAACTCATGTCGGAAACAAAAAGAAGGGAAGAGGTATGTGAAACCGCACTAACGTGTTAACTCATATTCGGATCGGACGCGCCGCAGTTTGCGAAGCACGCTCCTGTTAGTCCACTCTCGATGCCGGTTGTCGGCGACGCTCCGCCATTTCTGGCTCAAGTGCGTCCGATCATGCACCAGCTTTGCGGTACTTGTTTATAAGATTCATCCAGCGCTTTAGCTGTCGCCGGTTTGCGGCACCGCCCCGCGCTAAGGGAAGGAAATTTGGGAGTTTTGTTACTCGAGTGTGAAAGCGTTCAGTGGCCCTAATGGATACTATGCTAATAACTTCCGACACCTAATTGTAAAATAAACATTTATCTCAATGATGCAGTATTTCAGTTATTCCCGGCCCCGTCCCCGACCCGCAAAATATTGCCAAATGCATCAACCATAATTTGTTAATTCATAAAAACGCAAAAGAAACGATGTCGACTTACAGGTAAAGCAAGGCGAAGACGGTTATCACCAAGACAGTCCAATCCGGCAGTCCGAGTAGATTCATGCTGGCTGGATAAATGGAACTTTTCTTTGCGGCCGCTGAACACACTCAGCGGAATTCAAAACCTCGGAGGTAACGCGCCCTTTGCGCAGAGGTATCCGAGTCCTTCAAAGCGATGCGCAATACGACTGACAGTCAGCCAAGGACGGCGACCTAACACAAACACAACCTTCGGCAGGACTTCGCAGCGGTTCTTCACAGAGAGTGAAAGGCGCGTGGGCCGACGCCCGTATTTCTACCGGTCGGGAGAGGATCGTCAAAAGAAGGCAAGGGGGAAATCGAGGCGAGCGGAAGGTTGCTGTCGTTTGCGTCAGGCCGGGTGTAAGAACCACCTCGATCGCCGAGATACCGCACTGGTCGTTAGCGTGCATGCAGCAATGCGGTCATCTCTTGCAGCAGACTGTTTACAGACGCGCATTTTGTGAGTGTACGGATGATGGCGACTGAGCTGATGACACAAATAACGGCGTTGTTTACAGCTGCAGGCCATAGACCTCATACGTGAACTTGATATCTAGGAATGACTCACTCTCAGTAAATGTATTTTGCTTTGACCTATCACTCCAGGGTTTTATAAGGGATTGCCATTATGGGGCGGTGTTACAAATTTTTGGAAGAGGCGGAGGCGGCGACAGGGGCCGAAGGAGCGACAGGGACGGAAAGAGGGGGGGGGGGGGAGGGGAACTCACCCTGTGGGTGTATTAGAGGGGGCGGGGTCACTCTACAGGTGCGTTAGGGGGGAAGGTGAATAAATCAATGTATGACATAAAAAACTCCGTATACTGTGCCTATGTTTATGTTAAAAGATATTTAAAAGGTTAAAAAACGAAGCAAAACAAGGACAATACAGACACAAGGACAACAGGACGGGCGCTAACTCACAACTGATTTTATTAGAGAAAACACTGTCACTTTTATACACAAGATCGTATGCAAACCCACTCTGCAACCAATCACCACTCTCTCACAAGCAGCTATCTAGAAACATTACTTCTTTCTGGAGCAAAAAGACAGAAGGCATGCTAACGCATTTGTCATCTTTCCTTTTGATATAAAACGCCTCTATAATCTCTGTTTCTCTTGGTCTTATCTTTTGATTTCTTTAAAAACTTTGTTTCAGCCAAAAGAGGCTTACAGTCAGCACATCAGCTGCAGTAATCTTCCAGGTGTCCCCCCGCGTTGTTGCGCACAGAAAGATGATGCTCGCGTGCCCTATCGTTAAAACAGCGGCCGGCTTGTCCAATATAAACTTTTTGCACAGCTTAACGGAATCTCGTATACAACTTTAGTCACACATTCAGTGTACTGTACAACATGCTTCTTGGAGCAGAGTGCTTTTTCTGCCGTGTAAGCATCGAACAGATATTTGAGAGCTTATAAGGGATTGAAAAAAACATTTACATCGTACACACTAAGAAAAAAGTTGGCCTCAAGGGACTAACGGCAGCATTTGGTCCTCTGAACTCCCAGTTGCTCCCCGAAAGGACCATCTGGTTCAAGCTAGGTACCGTGCGCAAAAGCTGGGGACTAACTGCGCTCGACTGGGACTAACCGATAGGCGTGCGCGAGCAAAATCAGCCCTTAGTCCCCCTTAGACAGGGTGCATCTGTATGATTTAGTCCCCGAAGGCAAACGGAATGTTCGCCAGGAGGACGAATGGTATTTCGCTTGTCTTGGGGATCGGCGAGACGCAGCCCAGCACGGCTGAAAGTGTTGACAAAACTCGGACGAAACCGGCGAAGTTGTTTAATAAGCCACGAACGTTCAGACACGCGTTGTGCGAATGCGAGTTAAAGAATGTGTTAACTCTACTTCACCCACCTATCTCGTCAAAAATGATCTGTTGGCATGAATGAATGACGTGAATGGGACAAGTCCCATTCACGTAATTCGCCTTCGCGCAAAAAAATGAGCATTTATCCGAACGTCGCGTTTGGATAAATGCTCATTTTTTGGGACCTCCAAATACTGACACTTTTTTTGTTTCCATTAAATGAAACTTGGGAGTTTTTAGAAGACGCGCTTTCAACACCGGAGCCTCGCAGTCAGAAGTCACTTCAGTCGCTAAAGCTGAGTTACTGAGAAGTCGAGCCTCGTCTCTGCGTCTCCCCGTAACCAACATTTCTTGGTAGTCCAATGTCGAACTGAAAATCCGCAACGACACACTTGATGTACGACACGTTCCACTTAAAAAGCACATTCAGGGGCAGTATCCAGACGCCTTCATGCCATCGTCGTCTTTATTTCAGATAACATTCCAGATGAGCAACGAAGAACGAACCGCGCCCAGAACGTGAGCCATTGCGACACCCTGCTGATACAAAACAAATGCGAACCAAAAAAAATAGGCCCCCGAGAAAACTGAAAAGAGAGAGAGAGAGAGAGAGAGAGAGAGAAAAAAACGTGTTTGCTTGTACGCCATTTGACCGGCGTGTTGAAAATTGCGACTTTCGACCTTCTCCCGTCCCTGGGGAATAGGTGCGTCCGTGTGTCGTGTGTAGTGGGAGGGGGAAAAGAGGTTTTCGGGTGCGCGCCCTTCTCATTCCCACCAACATCCTACCCGTATTCTTTCCTGCATCCTCGCTCACGCGGGGGGTTAGGCAGACGGGGCAGAGAGGGTCCGTCGGGAAAATGGGAAGGGGTCTTTGTTTGAAACGAACCAGTTCTTAGTACAGCCTTCGTCAGAACTTAGAAGCTGAGTTCGACGTGGGCGCGTTGGTGAAGTTGGTCAAATCGTCTCCGATCATTGCGGGATACGGTTTGGATTCGCGGTGCTGCAACACTGCACTTGATCTGTTGTGAAGTCACAAAACAAGGGAACTCGATTAAGGTATGTCGAAGTACTTCTGTTTATGGTATAGACAACTGCAAGCATGGCATCATGACTGGTGCCCCAGGCGTGCAAGCACGTGTAACGTGCGCGTGAAGATAACGTTGGCATGCTTAAAATTGCAGGGGCTTTCCCGCACGAGCCGAGAAATGGCTGCGGCCAGTCGCTTTGCTTGCAATTGTCTATATTCAATAACTGCGGCTTCAGAAAGTGTTTTATTTTAAGCGCGTTCTCTAGCTTCCAAAGCGCGCGCCATGCTCTATTCTTTTTGGCAGCATGGTTACTTATTTTTTATGCGGCACAGAGGCCTGATATTCAATCGTATCGAGCAAAACGCCAGTTCTACCGATGGCTTATTTTTTTTTTTGTGTTTGTGTGCTTTGCAGACCCTGGCAGGATCGCTTTACCATACCTGTTCACACATGCAGCAGAGAGCTACATGCATAGCGCTGATCTAGCGCTAAGCGCGTGCTGACGGGAGCTTTCACCAGCTTTGTATCACACCGTCAAAACCGTTGCTCATGGCAGAAGAAAAGCAGCTCACGACACGTAAGCAGCGCTACTTCAGCGCTTCGCTGCGTGTGAGAACCGGCCTTACCGGAGACATTTATTCGATTGTACAGACTTTCGCGTTGATGACGGGAGCTCGTTCCGTCACTTTGAAGCATAGTTTGAGCACGCACACGCTGGGCCTGTGATTCGCAGCGAACGGTCTACTAAAAATATAATATTGCGCTGGTCTGCTGTCAACAGATCTCATGTTAGATATGAACCATTGTAGCACTTGTCTAGCCTATTTGTTATTTTATTATGTGTTTTATATCTCATACGTTTGTTGAGCGATCGGGTATTTCACGCTGCCCCTGTTGCTAATAATCCAAATTCCTCGCAAAAAGGCAAGAAGCTGCCTGTGCCCAATAAACGGTGCTTAGACCACGACCGGCTTGGGCAGACGTTTCAGTGTTCAAGCCATCGTCGACGCAAGTGCACTCTTCGGAATTTGGCCTTATAGTGGATTCTACCGGTCAGGAACTTCGACTTCAGTCATCCAGTTGAATGCGATGTGTATCTACGAGGCAATGAAGTTACGTTTAACCTGAACTGCGCAGTTTCGTTTCGGGGGTTTCTGGCTCGGGACCAAATGTAAAGGATAAACCTTTAGTCTCAGGGGTCTAAATCCAAGGGCGCAACGTTTAGACCTAGGGGTCCAAATGCAAGCGCCTAGCAGTTGGTCCTCGTGGTTCATTTGAAACGATGTAACAGTGAGTCCCAGGGGTCCAAGTGCAAGGGCCTAACAGTTCGTCCTCGAGGTGCAAGTGAAGCGGTGTAACAGTTAGTCCCAATGATGCTAGTGCGAGAGCCTAATGGAGGGGTGCAACTCTTACTCCCCTACTCGTTAGTCCCCGAGGGGACTAATGGTTGTGGCAATGCACTTGCTCCCCTCGGGGACTAAGTCGCGCTCCCTTTTTTCTTAGAGGGGGGGGGGGGGGGGGGGGGAGGGGGGGAGGCTTTACTGGTGTTGTCTTGGGAACCCCATGACACTGACTCAGGCGTCGCATGCCGACCCCCTCCGTTAATCTATACCATTCTCTCGTATTCTACTAGCTATATTTTTAATGTTGTGAGACACTTTATGCCAATAAGAAATTACATGTACACGTCTTTTAACTTTATTTCTCTGGCTACCCCCTTGCAAGTTAGTTCTTTTTATTTTTTTTAAGTAGGCTCTCACAGCAGCTTGAAATTAGGTTAGGTGGGTACCCTACGTTTTCTAACCTTTTTACTTGCTAAGCAAAACTGGTGTCTATCTGATGTTTGCAACTTTTTGCAAGAGCTGCCTGAGACATGTTAACGCGATACCTCTCTTGACCAGTTCGGAATGTGTACTTTTGTAAGAAACAAGGCTTTTCTTAGAACGCGGGCTATACTTCCAGAAACATGGTCGTCGGAAAACATGACTATAAGGTCCAAAAACCGAATGCAGTTCAGCACGGGCATTTCCCATGTAAACTTAAGTCCACCTGATGCCTCTTTAAAAAACTTTAATGATCCCCGCAACAATTTCATCCAAACCCGAATTTGTGCCTAAAGTTAAAAGATAATCGTCAACATATCTGAAGACTTTAACAAAATGCAAATCAGGTAGGCGTTCCAAAATGCGTCTGTCCAATGCCGCTAAAGTATATTCCATAAAACAGGGGCAACCGACAAGCCAATACAAACACCAGATTTCTTTACAATGAAACGCTCATTGTAACTGACGGCAGTGGACTGGAGGTAAGAGACCAACAACTCTAAAAAATGTTCGTTAGTAACGCCCGCAGAACTTTGAAAGTTGACCCCTCCCAATTCGTCTAGTTTATCCCGAACAGCTCAGAGTAACCCGTCATGAGGCACAGAAT